ACTTACGACAACGTCAAGCGAAAACGGTCGTGGTCGAATCGCGGTGAGCCAGCGGAAACGGTGGCCAAGCCAGGATTGACGGCCAGGAAGGTTTTGCTGTGTGTTTAGGATTGGCAGGGAATTATCTACTATGAGCTGCTCCCCTACGGCAAAACTCTTAACTCGGAACTGTACTGTCAACAATTGGACCGTCTGAAGGAAGCAATCGCCTAGAAGCGGCCAGCTTTGGCCAATAGGAGAGGAATTGTGTTCCATCAGGACAACGCCAGGCCACATACATCGATAGTGACTCGCCAGAAGCTCCGGGAGCTTGGTTGGGAGGTTCTTATGCATCCACCTTATCCTACCTAGTCCGGACCTGGCACCAAGTGATTACCATCTGTTCCATGGCGAACAATTTTGCTGGTGAAAAATTCGCTTCAAGAGAAGCTTGTGAAAATCGACTGTCTCAATTTTTTGCTAATAGGGACGAGGGCTTCTATGAGAGAGGCACAATGAAATTACTTTCAAAATGGCAACAAGTTATCGAACGAAACGGCGCATATTTGACCTAAATCGGATCATTCTAACTACGGTAATTAAAGCCTTCAATTTCATGCAAAAATAATGGATTTCTTTTTACTACACCTGATATATCTGAGAAATCATATGTCATACGGTATAACTCTTATAAAACCGATTGAAAATATTGCTATCTATCTTAAGTGGGGTTATATTTCTATGATATACGGATAAACGGATTGAAAATGTTAAAATTAATATATCTATTGGAAGAATCATATTTATGATCTAGTACGGTTACTTTCAACAGAGATTATTGGATTATCGTCTATTATATTTGACTGTGTTCTTTTGGCACCTTCAATCTGTTGCCCATTAATCGCAGCTATTACTTTATCGCTGTCAAGGATCATAATGTGATTACCTTCTACAGAATGAATTTGCACGCTTCCTGTAGTAATCTGAAAATTGCATTATTAATTAAAACTTGTTTACCGCATATGCTTCCAGCTAGTCAGACTTGCAAAATCGCATGTTGCATAGCGTTTTTTGTGAGTTTCAGCAGTTTATTAGCGGAGATACAACAGAATCTGTTAACAGAATATGATAATAGATTAATGAAAGAAACCGAGCAGAATCTGTCCTTCTATAATTATTTAAGTCTATTTAAATGGAACGTATGGCAGATGTCCTGCTTGTTTTTCGTTGTCCATCCGTTGACACACTGCTGACATTTTGCTTATTGAGCTACACAGTATTATTCTTAACACTTTAATGACCACTCCCATGTATACGTGATTTCGCGAGCCCATCGGTTACCAGCCGCTGTCACGCTCACGTGATTTCGCTCTGCCACTTGCTATTGGTATTATTATATGGTAAAATTTAAATTATAAAGATATGTTCAGTGCAGTTCTTTCATAAAATACTGGGAAAAATTAAGCAAAAAGTGCCGGCGTTAGAGGGTAGGACTTACGCGAGATATACCGGCGTCAAATGACAGTCAACGAGCAAAATGTGCGGCCATCAAAATGTTAAAAGAGCTGTATCAAGTACCTTATGTAGATCATAATCTTCATCGGACACACGCAACGATTGCGTGGTTGGTTTTAGAAGTATTACGGGTGACACAATCTTCTGTATTTGTGTCACGTCATACTTATGAAGAGCTTGAATATGTTTGTATATTGTTGTGCATGTAGTTTTTGAATAATCGATTGACATTTTACTATATGTTGGCGGGATATGACTCATAAACACATTCAACTTGTCATTCCAGTTAGAAAATTTATCTAATTCCAACAGAAGCTGCGGAATAATGAAATTATTTTATCTTTGCCAGAGAAATTCAAGCCTAAAATTAACCTATGTGAAGCTGGCCCCTCATTATCAAAATTTGAAAAAAATGATGAGAGTTCCAGTTGCCCCCCGAAGAGTTCTAGAGTTCTCAATCGGTTTTAGAAATAGTACTGGCGTTTTAAGCAGTCAAAAAGGCAATTGAAAAAAGGGGGGGCCAACTTCACAAAATCGTCCACTTTAGCGAGCTAGAACTCTTCCATTTCCGCTCGAATCGATTCAAGTCATAAGGAAAATCGATATAACTCCTCGGGGGGCCACCAGAACTCTAAAGAAATTGATCGATTTTCGAAAAAAAATTTTCTCCTAATTAAACTTAGAAATTTTTAGATTCCTAAAGCAATTTAAATTGTTAGAAAGGAGTAAAATGTATTTTAGTCATAGCTGCTGAAATGTATATTGTGCATTTTCTAATATTAACAGGTTATATCATTTTTCTGTGAGACTAATTGTAATCTCATTTTTTCTCAAGGTATTGGCACAAAAGATTCTTGGTAACCTTTACGAAGCGTTAGGATAGCATCAACATGATGGTCGACGAAAATATTGGCCATACGTTTGTGCATATTGTAACTGAAGAAATGAAACTGACGATTATATATGATATATATATTTATATGTATGACATGTATTGTTCTCCCATTAAATAAATAAAAACAACTTTTACCCATATTTGTTGCTCCTATTTTATTTCTAGGATTAAGTACAAATTGCGAGAAACATCCATGCGATCTTTACCAATCGTCCACATGAATTCCTAGATACATCCATACAATCTTTAAAAATCATCCATCTAAATGCTCCATGGTAGATGTCTAGTAGTATTTACGCGTGTAATCTCCATAGAAGCTCCATAGACTAGCTCTAATAGACATCCATAGTGGATGTTACATAGATATCTATCATGGATATAATATGGATGTTCATTAGAGGTCTACTTGACGTCCATGGAGATAGACGTATGGTAGAGCTATGGATCTTCTATGAACGTCTAATGGAGATTATGTTCCGTGTGGATAGGAACTGTGAAACGGCGCGCGCCTAAACACGTCACGTTATTTTTTGTGTATTTGCTATATTATTATTCATATAACGCTATAAAAATTGATTCTTATCAATAAAATATATATTATTATTTCTATCAAGTTTGAAATCAATCGTCTGCTTAGTTTCCGAAAAAAAAAATTCGTGAAAATAGCTTATTTTTCAGACAGATAGGATTCCCTCCTTAATCGGCATTTCTGCTAAGGAGAAAAGAGGAAAGCGCGATACATGGCTATTAGAGCGAGCGAGACACCTATAGAGACAGCGCGGTGTCTCTATAGCTGTCTCACTCATATTCCCTGCATTCAAGCGTAGAGTGAGTGAGACAGCTATTGGGGACACCATTAACCGTACCACGTCTGCTAATGCTTTCTCTCTCGATCATGCGACGTGCGATAAGGATGCAACATCGGAACATAGGGTGCGTTCCGTTTCACGCATATGCGCGCATTTATCTATAGTTTATGTCACATATACTATAAAAAATGTGCGCATATGCGTGAAACGGAACGCACCCATGGACATAGAAATATAGGGACAGAGCATAAAGCCCTAATAGATTATTCTTGTAATAGTCGATTGTGATTGGCCTATTTTTATTCTTATTGCCTGTTGCCTGGCATTGTGTTTAGGGCTTTAAGTTGCGGGGGAACCATTGCGGGACGGTGCGACGAGGTAAACTGTGCCTAAATCTAATTGGTGGTTGTGCCGTGTGTAAATATTTGATACATACATAGATGTGTATGAAGTTGTGTGTGAGTGAAATTATGAAAAAAAAGACATATGCATAACCTCTGCAAAATACTGTCAGTGTAAATAGTTCTTATCATTTTGTTACATTTACTACTTTGCCAGTAACAGCCAAGTCGTTGCATCACACGCTCTGAATATGCGCACTATTGTAGCCAATGAAACTTAGGCACAGTCGCCCCCCGTATTTCAGCACAACTTCCCTCGCCTATCTTACGGGCTTATGCTCTGTCTCTATATACCTGTTATGGGCAAGAGCACAGGCTTTTGCATAACACATAATACATAACACATAAGAGAATAAACCAATTAGTTTTCTTCATTTCCCTCCTCAGGACAGAAATGAAGAACTCTGATTGGTTGATTCTCTTATGCGTTGTGTATTATGTGTTATGCAGAAGTTTGTGCTCTTGCCCTATACATCGGAACATCTCCCACTACTTCTCCTTCTTCGCTTCTCTCGCGCTGTATGTACGTACGCAGTCCCCAAGATAAAAAATATGCGTAGTTACAGGAACCACATCCAACCGCCACGGAGGCGAACAGAAGACTCTGTCAAAATCAATGTAAATATATAAACAATGATCTAGGGACTTTAATAAACAATAATGTCGCTGCGCCATCTATGAGCATCTCTTTTCAGCGCCCTCACTTTTCCCGCGGGTGAATTTAAAAAGTTATTAATTATATTAAGTTCATTTGTCTAAAAATCTAAAATAAATTGAGAAACCGTTCTCTTTTATTCTTTAATCTAACTTTATCTAAGGCCAACAGTCTTAAACGATAATTTAGCATCAATCTCTTTTAATTTACAATATAAATTCATATTTCTTAATTATATTTCCGATTTATATATATAAATTGCTGTTGCATTTCAATATTTAATATTAGTATAAATATCGTTAAAATATCGTTAATATAGTTAAAAATCTAAAGTATACGTTACATAGACTACAAATTTTCAGTATTAATAATGAATATCGGACTCGTTTCATCAACGCAGAAAATCTATCTAAAAGGATATTTATATATTTTTTATTATTAATTTTAAGATGCAACGTAAAATACAATGTTTCAAAAATGATAATATTTATATATGTAAGCTTAAACACTTTTTACATACACAAAAACTTAATATATATATGTGTGTGTGTGTGTGTGTGTGTGTGTGTGCGCGCGCGCGTGCGCGCGCGTGTGTGTGTGTGCATAAACGTTTGACATTTTTTCAATTTTTCTATTACTGAAATATTCATACTATTTCGTGCTGAGAAAAGACTATATAGTGAATCAACTCGAGAACGGGTCTACATTAGGTCTTTATATAATGCTTCTATATATACGTCTCATAATAGTCTTTCATTATCCCTTCTCGTCATGTTTGTAGATAAGTGAGAGATTACATGCTAACTTATTTTGGTGTGTGGAAGTTACATCACTTGGCATTTCCAGCCCGGAGGAACGTAGTGTATGCACAGTCTCACATATAAGCTTGATACCATATCGTCAGATATTTTCGTAAATCAATGCTATGCATGCTGGTAGAGTGTTAACATGAAATGAGATGGACGCCATAAAGAAATTTGACAATCCGAATCCTCGAGGCTCCGCGAATCCGTTGAATAAATTGATCTTCGGGTAAGTTGAACGATTACATCGCATATCATAAGGTCAGGATCAAATATTAAGTATAATCGCAAAATAAACGGCGATACTCTGAAAATATATAGTGATGTCATGTGAAATATATGGATATATATGCGGGCTTTTGAATGCAATGAGATAAATTATAATTCTCAAAAATAATTCTGTGTAAATTATGAAACTCAGATTACCAAAAAAATAGAGATCATATATAGTAATTGTCATATATATATCAGCTTATCTACAATAAATTAGACTTTGCACTTAATTGTGATATGTAAATTATTTCCCAGAATCATTTAGAGAACAGTTTGTAATATTTTATGTAAATTATTCTATTTAAATTTTAAACTATATATTTGTTACATATTAGCATAAATAAGATTTACATTTGCAAAATTGCATTTGTATGCATATCACACTCATAGAAATGCATTATAAATATTTAGATATATACCACTGATTATTCATTTTCTTTACAATTAAACTATCTATTTTCAGAAACAATTAGAAAAATATTTTCCTAAAAATTCTCAAGCTTTCCTGCTTTTGCTAGTAAAATCTGAAAATATTGAAGAATTTTTTGAAATTGCTATTTCATATATAATTTATGGGACTTCAAAGATATCAGTAGAAACCAAAGGTCTTTTTTTAAAAATATCATGCAATCATGACATACATGATTGTGAGTTTAAAGCTACATCATGGTTAAATATAACACATTTAGATACAATCAGATACAAATCTAGGCACAACAATTTATTAATCCTCAATATTTTTTTTATTGTAATACAATTTATAATATAATTTATAAATGATAATAGTTTATTTACAAGGAAATACTAATTAGTAATTAAAACAGTAATAATTTTTACTTAGAAGTAGTAATATTGTAAATATTATTGTTACATTATTATTACTACGATATTATTAATTTATAATAAATAAATTTATATATGCTATTAGATAAATATTTGATGTACTTGCTGCTTTCTTCATATGTAGTATTCTTATTACATTATAATTTGTAACATACTAGGTGCGCAACTAAGTTTCCGGATTTCACACATGGATGGTGCTAACGACACATGTAGTCGACATACATGTCTGAAATTGTGTTTTCTTTATAGCTTGGGCATCTATTAACAATAACCAGTCGTAATACCAACACATATCGCAACGCAAAAATATTTTTTCTAACAATGAAGATATCGAGTTTTGTGCCAAATAAACAACATTTGCGGGAAGCTTTGCTTTTCTGCTTTAACTTGAAAAAGTGCAGCTGAAGCACGTCGTGTGCTTGAGGAGGCCTACGGCGAACATGCACCATCGAAAACTACCTGTGAAGATTGATTTAAACGCTTCAGAAGTGGCGATTCGACATTGAGGACAAAGAGCGCTCCGGAAGACCAAAAACAATTGAGGACACCGATCTGCAAGCGTTATTGGATGAAGATGATACGCAAACACAAGATCAACTTGCGGAGGCATTAAACATGACTCGTATTTCCAAACGTTTACATGCCATGGGAAAAATTCAAAAGGAAGGGAAATGGGTGCCGCATGAGTTGACTGAGAGACAGATAGAAAATCGAAGAGCTATTTTCGAAATTTTACTTTTGCGGCATGAAAGAAAGAGTTTCCTGCATCGAATTGTTACTGGCGATGAGAAGTGGATATATTTCGAGAATCCCAAACGCAAAAAATCGTGGCTTTCACCTGGCGAAGCATCAACATCGACGGCACGGCCAAATCGCTTCGGAAAGAAGACAATACTCTGCGTTTGGTGGAACCAGAAAGGAATCGTGTACTATGAGCTGCTGAAATCGGGCGAAACTATCAATGGGCATCGCTACCGACAACAACTGATCAATTTGAACCATGTATTGCTCGAAAAACGGCCAGAATGGGACACGAGACACGAACGAGTGATATTGCAGCACGACAACGCTCCGTGCCATCGCACTTCCATCGTCCAGGACACCATCAAAACGCTGAAATGGGATCTGCTATCGCACCCGCCGTATTTGCCAGACCTGGCCCCTTCCGATTATCACTTGTTCCAGTCGATGGTGCATGGCTTGGCTGGGCAACACTTGACCAATTTCAAAAAAGTGCAAAATTGGTAGGATGAATGTTTTCGGTCCAAAGACGCGTCGTTTTATCGTCGCGGTATTCATGTATTGCCAGAGAGATGGCAAAAATGTGTAGCTAGCGAGGGACGATACTTTGAATAAACCATTTTTTGTATTTCTCTTGAAATTTTCCATTTTTCATTGATCAAAAAAACTCGGAAACTTGGTTGCGCACCTAGTAAATTCTCTGACACTTATGAATTTATAATTTTGTGAATTTTAAGTTTATATTATATAAATGATTTAAGTCTTTGTTTTAGAAGCTGTATAAATAGCTTTTCATTTAATTTTGATATTCTTTTCATATCTTTTCCATATATGAAATTTATAAGTGATTTTTGATTTTTTATTTGATATCATATAAAGTATTTAAAAAGCTACACATAAACAATTAGAAATTTGTTAAAAACATATTTTAGTTTTATCTAGAAATTTTCATAAAAATGTCTAAAAATCAGGAAGATATCTGGGAGTGCTTGGGGCGGGGGAGTTTTTGGGTTTTTGGAGATTTGTTTCTGCACTTTGACTAGATATTTACAAATATAATCTCATATTGAATTTACTAATTACTCAACATCACATTTCAGCTGGCTCTACAAGTTTTTCTGGTATGGAAAAAATCATGATTTGGAAATGAAAGACATATATAATGTCTTGCCAGATGATATCAGTGAACTTCTAGGAAACAGACTGGAACAGTAAATAAATTATTATATCATATCAATATATTAAACACATGCACACATACACACACATGTAATGACAAATTTAAGATATAATATGTAATATGCATTATATTTATATAATTACAAAGTAATAACATTATAATTATATAATAAATTTATAGTTCTATTAGTAATGTATTGCCAATAATTAATTATGTTGATCTTGTGGGTACTTCCAGAAATTGGAAAAATGAAGTGCACGCGGCTGAAATGAGCGGTAGGAAACCTAAATTTCTCATAGCTTTAAAAGAAACGTTCATTTGGTCGTTTGTATATTATGGAGGATGGATCTTATTTATGTGTACTGTATTAAGGTAAATCGATTGTTACAACCATAATGATCATCATTTGTAATTTATCGTTGAAAAATATTTTTTTCATATAGAATTATGCAGCCTTACATACTGGGTCTATTCATTTGGCATTTTGACACAAGAGCGACTTCCACGCAAAATGAAGCGTATATCTATGCATCCATTATAGTGATCTTAGCAATATTGATGATCTTCGTCACTCACCATTCTAATTTAGGTTTAGCTGAAATAGGAATGCGGATGCGAATAGCGAGTTCTTCTTTGGTATATAGGAAGGTAATTAAATGAAAGATAATATTCTAATTTAATTCATTAAGTCAATACCAGCTTTCTTTTATTTTAAAATCTTTGCATATTTACGTAGGACATGTTTGTCCTATAAAAATTGCTTATCACACGTTTCGTTATTATTCCCTCTTTCTTTTTTAGATATTACGGTTATCAAAATCTTCCACCGTTACTTCTCCAGGTCAAATAGTTAATCTCCTGTCGAATGACATGTCGAGATTTGATTTGCTTTTCCTGCAACTCCACTACATTTGGACAATGCCCATACAAGCAGCTATAATTGCATTTCTTATCTGGCAAAATGTCGGCGTTGCTTCATTGGCTGGCGTGTTTCTCATAACTATCCAGACTATTCCTGTTCAAGGTATCGTGAGAGAGATGAGAAGATTACGACGAATTATAAGTTATAAATCTATCTAATTAGCACGCGATTAAGCTGGAAAATTTCGCAGGGTATATCAGTAAATGGATGTCAAAGTTGCGTTTAAAAATTGCTTTGAGAACCGACGAGAGAGTTCGTTTAATGTCTGAGATAATCAGTGGCATACAAGTTATCAAAATGTATACTTGGGAAAAACCATTTCAAAAACTGGTTAGCCATGCTCGAAAGTTTGTACATCTCGATTTTATTTTTTCGTGAGAGCTTGTTTGCTCGCTAGCAAATATATACTACATGCATCATTTTTTGTAGATATGAAGTTGATGTGCTCACATTAACGTCATATCTGAGAGGTTTCACACTAGCTACGTTCGTCTTCACAGAAAGGACAACATTATATTTCACGATTATGACATATGTATTTCTCGGACACACTATATCTGCCGACAAAGTATTCTCAATGGCACAATACTTTAATATTCTCGAGCTCACGATGGCGATATTTTATCCAATAGCTGTTGCGTCTGCTGCCGAAGCGTCAGTGTCTATAAAACGGATAGAAGTGAGTATAAAAAAAATAATGAGAGTAGAAAGCTATTTCTATGTAGTTTCATCTACAATCCTATCAAATTATGATAAGCAGATTGTACTGAGTACATTAAAGATAAAAGCGGTTTGGCGCTTATATAATAATATATTTGAAATATAGATAAAAATACATATATTCAACCTTTTAGTGACCTATTATATCAAATTCAATATCATATTATTCAATATTATATTATTTAATAACATATATCATTCAGTTTGTCATCTGCAAATATGTAGAATAATAAAATACTGCTTGATGCTATAATATTTGTTCGACGCAAAGAGAAATAATCCAGAGAATGCAAGGAATAAATGTATGTATTATATTTGCAATATTTTGATGTAATACTATGTTATGAATATTGTCATATGTTATGAATATTATCATTTTCCTTATTATCTAAAGATAATACAATCAAATAGTAATAGGTGAATTGTGTCATGTTAAAAGTAAAAGTAATTCAGTACTTTGCATGCTATAATACTTTGCATACTTTACATATGAACACATACTTATGACTTTAATTTCTAATGACTTTGTATTAAATATTATAAAATTCCATTTATCTGCAGATAAGAATATGTAAAATGAGCAAAATGTTAATTGAAGCAACATAGCTGCTAAAAAAATGAGTAACCTTGAAAATGCAAAGAATAAATAATAAAGAAATAAGTATTTCACATTAGCAATGGTCTTGTAGTATCTTGATAATGTAATCGGAGTATTGCCACTTTTCTTGTTATCTAATGAAAGGATAATGATATGATATCGAAATACAAAGATAAAAATAATACAATGTTAAATGTAATATAATTCGTAGATAAAATACGAACATATATACAGAAGAAGAACATGTGTGTGTGTTTTTGATAATTTTGCATCGTATATCAAGATAAAATCTCAATTAGCGTAATCAAATAAAGATAGTACATCGATAATGAGAAATATTATCTCCGTTATCGTGATCAAAAATTCGCCTGAACATATTCGAAGTTATTAAAAATAACGTTTATAATAACGTAAAACTGACGAGAAACTTCTTGCACAAATCTTTCTATTTCTACTGAGTTTTCTATCTGATATTTTGCCTCCGGTACGAATAGTTCCGATAGTTATTGCTTATACGGAAAATTTTATCTTGTTAGTCAACTGAAATATCATTATCAGTGTCACGCTTTATATTTAACTTCTATATGACTCCAATGTAGAATTTCCTGCTGCTGGATGAAAATATACCGTTGACACATTCTTTGTTGAGTAACAAAGAAAGGAGCGTCACAATGAAAAACGTCAGCGCTTCGTGGACGAATAACGCAATTGTCAACACGTTGCACAACATTAACATTCAAATTAATGCCGGCAACTTATATGTTATTGTCGGTGCCGTCGGTGCTGGGAAAGTATGACCATTATACAGACCATTATACATTATAAGATAGAAATAATGTTCTAATAGAAATGTCTCCCCTTTTAACACTCGCGTTTAAACTTTTAACGATCAGACTTTTTTTTAAGAATTTATTTAAGAAAATTTGCTGCTTCAAATAAGTTGAACTAGAATACCTGTTTTTATTTATTATTAATTTTAATAAAGTTATATGACTTTCTTTACAAGTAAAACATGTAAAAAATAGTGGAGATATTAATGCAAATAGAGGACTGCGCCAAAAGATTTCCCATGCATGGCGAAATCGATACAGCCAATTATAATAAATAAAGTGAATAAAAAATCTCCTTAATGTACACGAATTTAATTATAGCTGGAAGTTCAGTTATTAAAAAGTATGAAAATGTAAAAAAATAATGATCATTTCAAGAAAAAAATTTCCTCTGACTTTTTTCTGTCTTATATTGACTCGCCTATAACAAAAAACTATTAATTATTATTAAAATTATTAAAACTATTAATTATTAAAACTATTATTAATATCTAAAAAACTAGTATTAATTTGAATATGCGTGATTCTGACTATGTATATTCAAATTAATATAATATATAGCCAGAGAGAAACATTCATATGAATTAAGAAAGTCTTTGACACATTTCATTTCATTGATTAAACCGGTATCCATCTCACTATGAATATAAAACTTTTTGTGACAGAAATCCATTCGTATTAATATTTTCGCTATTTTACATTTGTATGAAATATGTAAAAAAAAAAGAAAAATGTTCTGCTTCTTTATTTTTAGAGTTCTTTACTACAAACAATTCTAGGCGAATTGAGGCCAACGTACGGCCAAATGCACGTGAACGGCAAGATATCGTACGCGAGTCAAGAAGCTTGGTTGTTCGCGGGTTCAGTGCGAAATAACATCTTATTTGGACAAACTTACGATAAAAATAAATATCAGAAAGTTGTTAAAGTGTGCGCTCTAACGAAAGATTTCGAACAACTTCCATATGGCGATAAGACTCTGGTTGGCGACAGAGGCATAGCACTCAGTGGTGGACAACGCGCGCGGATTAACTTGGCAAGGTAAATGTTTGTACAAATTCAAATCAAAATCATGCAATACGTCGGAAATCCATATAAATTATCGTAATTACAACGTCAAACAAGGTACATATAACTTTGTTTCGATATAATTTAGATACTTTTCTAGATACAATTTGGAACATATCTGATGGTCTATAATGAGAGAACTGAAAATTAAGAAAAAGAAACAAGTTTTACAAACTACATTAGAACCAAGTATAGAAGTTTTTTGTCATGTTTTGTGCTACAGAAATACGTTCAGTTTATCTTGTTGAGAAATAAGTCATTTTATCTCGCTAAGGAACATAGTAAATATTTCAATGGTATCAGTTCGTAAAATATAAATGACATATATGAAATGAATAGAGATGTGCGAATCAAGAATTTTTATGTCGAACAGAATCGAATCTATGAAATTTCACTCGAATTGGAATGAATCGAATCGAAAAAATTTAACACGACTATTAAACATGCAAATAATGATGGAAGATTTTAATATGAAAGGAAATATTGATATTGTAATATAATCTTAAAATAAAATATATATTTTAATATTTAAAGTAATTTATAATTAAAATATTTAAAGTAATTTATAATTAAGTTATTAATTATAAGTTAAGTTATTATTACAAGTTAAAGATTCAAACATACAAGTCCAAATGGCCCATTTTGTAGTTGGTGCGCGCAAACGCTAATATATTTTATTCGTATTCGAATGTTCGCGATTCGAAATTTTCGAATTATTCGGATTTGAATCATAGGGATTTGGATTCGAATCGAATCTAATATAATTCGATTCGATTCGAATTCGAATAGTTCGCACATCTCTAGAAACGAAGTGATAATGAATTAAGGCAATATGTCAATATATAAATTTCATTTTACTTTATTTATTTATTTTAATTATTTCACTACTTTTTTGCTATTTTACTATATATCTGTTATTTCACAGAGCCGTCTACAGAAACGCTGATATCTACCTATTCGATGATCCTTTATCGGCTGTTGATACCCACGTTGGCGCACAATTGTTTGACGAATGCATAAGCGATTTTTTACGAGATAAAACGAGAATCCTTGTTACTCATCAATTACAGTATCTAAAGCAATGCGATTACGTTATTATTTTGAATAATGTACGTGAAACATCACAATGCTTGTAACAATAGTTACAAGCAATAATAGCATGTATTCAGTGCTACAACCAACCATTTTCTGAACGTTTAATGAATTCCTGGATTGCGTTGGTGCATTTCAAACTTAATCGAGAGAGAGATCAAACGTGCAAACCAATTATATCTAAAAGCTCATTGCGAGTTTAGTGAGCAGTATTAGTACTGAATACGTGCACAGTATACTAGTACCATGATTACTTTTTGTACTATTTACTATTTGTACAATTATTGATATCTTATATTATTTCATTTATATTTATTTTATTATTTTCATATTTATATTTATCATTTTACTATTTTACTATTTTACTATTTTATTTATATTTTACATTGCTATTGTTTATTATTACTGCTCTTAGTCAGTTAGTATTAAATAGTAAATAGTAGTGACATGAAATAATAGACATAGAATGTGCGAGAATTGACTATGCAAATTTCTCTGGAAAGGGCCAAATAGAGAACGAGGGCACATTCAGAGAACTTCAAGAAAATCACGTGAAGTTCCTTGAGACATTACGGCGAGAAGAAACTAAGGAAGACACGGAAACGTCGAAAATTGACTTGCTAGATATCACACCAGATGTGATCCCGAATAGCAACGTTAATGAAGACGCAGAGGAGGACAAGGAACCTCAAGAGGTCGAGGAGCTCTTAGCCAAAGGAAGCATATCGAAGGCATTATACTGGAAGTATTTGCGCAGCGGCGGTTCGATCACTGTGATCATCACTTTCCTGATCTTCATGGTCTTGGGACAAATCGGTAGCAGCGGCTGCGATTATTGGGTCGGCTATTGGTAAGTTTCTGACGAAATTTCACCACTATCTATATACAGAGAAAAATATTCTGCTGCGAAGAAACGCAATTACTCAGCAGTTTATTTCTTTGTTTTTAATTCATTCACCGTCACGATGCTTATCGGCAGTTTTTTGTTTACGCGTCACAAGACACCGGTGAGCACATCATGCGGTGAATTTTAAAATACGTATAATATGCAATTATTTACATTTACAAGATTATTGTATTTCTCTGTCTACGAATGCTAAACGAATCTCATGATACAGGACGAATCAAGAAGAGTTGCACATCAAGGTGATGCGCGAATGGCACGAAAATTTAAACGACAGCTTCGCAATCTCTTCCTCGACGCCAAGTTCGAATAGACAAATAAACAACAACTCGTTGGAACTCGCTAATTTCTCGATAACCATTGCCAACGACTACTTAATAAACGCGACCGATGATATGTGGTTGCAAAATTTCACTTCCGTTAACGTCGTTAGTACCCTCTGTATTTCTCTGCGATAAGGCAAGAGCACAGGTTTTTGCATTACACTTAATATATAACACATGAGAGAATAAACCACGCAGTAAGCAAAATGCTAGCAGAATGCGCGCAGATTGACGCCAATTTCGATCAGATCCCCACATAAAAACCATAGCCATCTGTGTCCTCATTAGACTCGTGTTTTGTCGATAGGACCTGTGTGACAGGCCGTGCGAGCAGATTGTCGGCAGAAACCGCGCAGGTCCTGCTGCCAAACTACGCGTAGAGTCTGCGCGCAGAGTTTATTCGGTTTCTTCCACCAATCTGCCCTCAAATTACTGCAAGTCTTGCGCGGTTTTTGCTACAAATCTGCCGTCAAATATCCGACAGCAGGATCAGGCACATATTTGACCGCAGATTGGCGGCATAATTTGATATAACAGATTCTGCGTTAAATTTGTTGCCTATTTGCCATCAAACTATGATAGCAGGCTTTGTTCGAAATCTGTCCGCGCAGATTTGGCTATCTGGGCAATTAGTTTTCTTTATTTCCCTCCTCAGTACAGAAATGGAACTATGACAGGTTGATTCTTTTATGCGTTGTGTATTATGTGTTATGCAGAAGTCTGTGCTCTGGTCCATATGCTCGACTGTGCAGGTAGTATTATTATTCTTCTTTTCGCTTCACTTAGACCAAAATAGATACGTACTATTTAGACACGTCTACAGCATTGTGGATTTATGGGATATTTATCATTGCGAGCATCGTCATGACAACGTCGCGGAATTTAATCTTTTACTGGATATGCATGAACGCTAGCAAGAATCTGCACGACTTCATGTTCTCATGCCTACTCCAGGCGCCAATGTCATTCTTTCAAAATAATCCATCCGGTGAGTAGAGTCAACAATTCGTTACATGGAGAAAAACTTTTTGGTTGGTAATTGAATTTTCTGTTGCCTGAGGGAGACCACACGAGAACTCGATTGTCAGGTAGAGATGTACGATTTTGCGACATATCGCGAACATCATGGTTTTTTAAACCACATAGTTGGATTTTTATTGCAAAATTGCACAATCATTACTCAAAATCACACTTGAAAAAATCGTACATACTGCGATCCTTAAAATCGCATCGCGTTGCACGATTTCCTAAATCACAAATTTCTAGTTGTAAAAACAAAAACATTCTTGCAGGGGTTCCTACTCAGTTAATCATTTTGTCAAACAACAGCAGCTGTTTTAACGCAGCTGGTTGTTCACGAAAATGTTCTCGCGATAAGAAAAATATTTTGTTAGCGGATTCTCATTTTTGGTCCTTGTTCAAGTATATAAGTTAAAGTCTTTTTCTTTCCGTGCAAGAAAACTCTGGTAGAGGGAATGTGTTTCGACGTTCAACCGCATTCTCCTTTTAGGTCGAATCCTGAATCGTTTCTCAAAGGACATCGGCGCTTTGGACGAAACTATGCCCAGGTTTATGATAGAAGCTATTCAAATATTTGCAGTTATAGTAGGCATCCTAGTGCAAGTGCTCATTATCAATTGGTGGATTATAGTCGCTGTAATCATCGCGGGCGCTTTATTCGCCGTGATTAAAAATATTTACGCACCAACGGCACAAAAATTAAAACGGTTGGAAGGAAATGGTAAACTTCCTTGCTTATCACTACAATCAAAGAATGTTGTATTAACCCTTTCGTGCCTGGTGGGACATATATGTTCCAGAAATTTAAAAACTCATATCTCCCACAAAAATAAAGATAGCGATTTCTTCTTGAGCTGATTTTAAAGAGGAAAGATAAGACTCTTCACACAAAAATCAGCACCCTTGTTAGTTTTATCTTCCAATTTACATATCTCGTCAAATATTCGTAAAATAGGGTAAAAGTGAAAAAAAAAAATATATATATATTCCACAAAAATTAAGATAGCAAGTTCTTCCTGGGCTGATTTTGAAGGTCAATGTAAGGGCTATATGAAACAAAATTGCTACTTAATTTCAAAATGGCAGATTCAATATGACGGAACAAAATGTGAAATTTTTTTTTATTTGAGTGAAACTCATTTTTCAGAGGTTTTTTGAGTCGGTGATAACGAATCTAAAGTAAAAATTTTCAAATTCAATATAGTCATATCTAATATAGCTGATAAAATGTAAATAAAAGAAGTCGACTCAATTTTATTCACATTTCGTGGAATTTTTTGAAGCACAGAATGGAACAGAGTGAAACTTTACACGCTGTGCATATTGAATTCGTCATTTTTAATTTTGAAATTTTAACTACAGATTCATAATCAGCGACCCCAAAAATCTCTGAAATATGAATTTTATTCAAATCCAAGCAAATTTTACATTTTGGCTCGTCATATTGGATTCGCTATTTTGCATTTTGAAATTTTGACTACAGATTCATAATCAGCGATTCTAAAAACCTTTAGTAAGACGTGAATTAGATGCAGATTATTTCTAGAAAAAAAATCAGGCACAAAAGGGTTAAGTCATATTGCATAAGTTTTTACTATGTTACGGCTACGAAAGAAATATTAGTATACCATTCAGAATTTTTCTTGTTTTTACTTCTCACTATATGAAACGAGCTAACGGTAATCGTTACGTATTACAAGAACTTACGAGAAGAGATTACAAAAAAAGTATCAAAACTTGCGACCAATTTTTCACGCATCAAGAGAATACTTGGAAGAAAAGATATCTCTCTCTCTCTCTCTCATTTCTTCGCGAAATCGCGACATCGCATTCTGAATTAACGTTCGCTCAAATATTTTCAGCTAAGAGTCCCGTCTTTTCGCACGTCAACTCCACATTGTCGGGACTGACGACGATACGGTCCGCCGGCGCTCAGGAGATGCTGCGCAAACAGTTCGACGAGCATCAAGATTTCCATACTAGTACTTATTCGTTGACCATTGTGACTGGCGTAGGATTCGGCTTCATGCTGGATATAGTGTCCGCTTGTTTCATCGCTGTTGTCACATACAGTTTCGTCGTGTTCGACAACGGTAAATTTAGATATCTCTCATCTTTTTGGGTAACGCGACAAATTCCCGAAAAATTGCAGAGACAAGATTGGTATCAACGAAAACCTCTAGACGACATAGTTTTAATTCCTAAAGGTTAGTAATATTGTTTAAGTGGTAAGCTATTAGTTTGCGCAAACTTTTTGACAGATGTGCGCACGTATGTTACAAATATTATACAAGGTGTTTGATAGCTGATCATGCAGACGAAAGTTGGAGATAGATTGGGTGTAGCCGAGAAGAAAAGTCATGTACCATAATGTCAAATTGGCAATAGTTACCGAGTTATTAATTAAAACATGTGAGCCAACGAGCGCGTAGAGAGCGGAGGTCGACCGCAGTAAGCACGTAGACATTTGATACAGGCGGAGTCAATGAGTGTCGGTAGGCAAGCGCGCGCGCGGCGAGGGGCAACGTAAACAACAAGAGGCGGACGCGTGCGACGAGGAGCGAGCGAGCGCGAACGACGAGGAGCGAGCGAGCGCAAGCGACAAGAGGCGAGCGAGCGCGAACGACGAGGAGCGAGCGAGCGCAAGCGACAAGAGGCGAGCGAGCGCGAACGACGAGGAGCGAGCGAGCGCAAGCGACAAGAGGCGAGCGAGCGCGACGAAGAGCGAGCGAGCTATAAGGAAAAAGCTATAAAGGAAAAGCTCGCTCGCTCCTCGTCGCGCGCGATCGCCTTTGTCGCTTACGTTGCCCCTCGCCGCGCGCGCGCTTGCCTACCGACACTCACTGACTCCGCCTGTATCAAATATCTACGTGCTTACTGCGGTCGACCTCCGCTCTCTACGCGCTCGTTGGCTCACATGTTTTAATTAATAACTCGGTAACTATTGCCAATTTGACATTATGGTACATGACTTTTCTTCTCGGCTACACCCAATCTATCTCCAACTTTCGTCTGCATGATCAGCTATCAAACACCCTGTATATCGTCAAATTATAAATGTAAAATACTTTATAATATTAAATAAAAATGACATAAGTGAAAGCATAAAGTGCGTATAACAAAACAAATGAGACGAATGAGAACATAAAGTCGATAAGGTGAAAAACATAATAAATAAATAAATATATATATATTATATATATATGTGTGTACATGCATATATATGTATATGTGTAACTAGATAAATAATTATTATATGTAAATAAATAACTTAAGTTTTTCAATATTTTAGCGGGTTTCAGTAAATTATCAGTCACGGTTGTAACTTGAACTTAGTTCTTCGCATTGGCATAAATTTGCTGCTGTTGCAATAAAGAAATACATATCAGATAAGTAATCAATATTCACATAAAATAAAAGATTAAGTATCTATGTATAGTCAGTAATGATAGATGTTGGACCTATTCTTTTTTTCGATTAATTTTTTGTTTCAGCTTCCCAGCTATCCAAGTCCTTGCAGAACATTAATAGTTGGAGATCACTTTCTTGTGAAGTAAGATTACCGAAGTCTGAGGTTACTGCATCCTTGAATGCGTCATAGTAAGCAAAAGTTGAATCACATCCTAGTCAAATATCAGAGTAAGATGTGTTACTAGTAGTGTGATGACAGATTAATGCATCAAACTAAGAATAGGTTCGTAACATTGATGTTTACTGTCATATCATCAATGCTTTTGACAGGTGTACTTGAAATTTTTTTATCACTTTATCATGTAGCGTACTATCTGATATATTCTTCTTACCTTTTAGGAAACAGGATGTTTTACCTATATTTCTCTCTGCAAATAAGGTTATTGTGATTTACGGTCAAGAATGATGAATTTTTTCCCAAAAATTGAGGATCGGTCCTTAAAGAAGACAACTACAGTAAAATGAAAAATAAAAATCATATAAATGGAAAATGCAAGAGTCACGAGAAGTCAAGGATCACAAAGAAAATAGAAAATAAGAACATGTTATGCGTTTATTTCCTCTTTTCCTATTAATAGTTCGTATAAAATAGTAAAGTGATAAAAAAATTTCGGGTACACCTGTCAAAAGCATTGATGATATGACAGTAAACATCAATGTTACGAACCTATTCTTAGTTTGATCCATTAATCTGTCATCACACTGCTAGTAACACATCTTACTCTGATATTTGACGTTAGGATATGATTCAACTTTTGCTTACTATGACGCATTCAAGGATGCAGTAACCTCAGACTTCGGTAATTTTACTTCACAGGAAAGTGGTCTTCAACTATTAATGTTCTGCAAGGACTTGGATAGCTGGGAAGCTAAAACAAAAAATTAATGGAAAGAAAGAATAGGTCTAACATCTATCATTACTGACTATACATAGATATTTAATCTTTTATTTTATGTGTATATTGATTACTTATCTGATATGTATTTCTTTATTGTTAACAGCAGCAAATTTATGCCAATGCGAAGAACCAAGTCACAACCATGACTAATAATTTACTAAAACACGCCAAAATACTGAAAAACTTAAATTATTTATTTACATATAATAATTATTTATCTAGTTACACATATATATGCATATACACACATGTATATAATATATATATATTTATTTATTGTTTTTTACCTTATCGACTTTGTTCTCACTCGTCTCATTAATTTTGTTATATGCACTTTATGCTTTCACTTATGTCATTTTTAGTTAATATTATAAAGTATTTTACATTTATAATTTGACGATATATAATATTTGTGACACACGTGCGCACATTTGTCAAAAAGTTTGCGCAAACTAACAGCTTATCACTTAAACAATATTACTAACCTTTAGGAATTGAAACTGTCGTCTAGAGGTTTTCGTTGATACTAATCTTGTCTCCGCCATTTTTCGGGAAATTGTCGCGTTACCTCTTTTTGTCAAATTATACAGAGTGGACCATTTTAATTTATCCACACTGATAACTTCGAAGATTATGGAAATATCGGAAAATGTCCAAAAGAAAAGTTAGTATAGGGGGTTCGTAGGGAGTCAACTGATGGTGACCTTGACTTTGACCCCGAAAGGCATTTTCAAGGTCAGTTGAGAGTCAACTTAATTTTTTAAAATAGAAAGTCCAATTTTTTATTATATCTTCTCTTTCTACCTATTAATTCTAACAACTTTTGTCTGAAACATTTTTTTATTTGCTTAATATTTTTTAAAATATTTAAGGAAAACTTGATAACTTTTTCAATATTTAACTTACGATATCTCGCTAATCATTTGTCGAAAGAAAAAATGATACCAGACTTTTTTACTCTATTTAATCTCAAGAATATATTGCTATAATAGTGCCTTTACTTTTGTTAATTCGATGATTTTGAAAGTTCTAAAGATCGATAAATTAACAAAAGTAAAGGCACTATTGGGCTTTCTATTAAAAAAAATTGAGTTGACCTTCAACTGACCTTGAAAATGCCCTTCAAAGTTAAGGTCACCATTAGTTGATCTTCTACAAACCTTATAACTTTTCTTTTGGACTTTTTCGGTATTTTCATAAGCTTTGAAGTTATTAGTGTGGATAAATAAAAATGGCCCACCCTGTATAATCGAGAGACTATATAACGCTGATCAATATTAATCTTTAGTCCGGCGGTTCTTATTACGAATATCTATATTCTTTGGATTGGAACTTTTTCGTACGTTTCATCGAAGAGATATGTAGATTGATAAAAAATATAAGACTTTTATCACGTTATTATGGTGGCTTTCCGGATTGATTATGTTCGTCCATGTATTTACGGGCTTTCACGTGTATATTTTAGGGAACGTTTACGCCGGGAACGTCGGTTTGGCTATTTCGCAAGTGTTCATTTTATGTGGCATGGTGCAACATGGGATACGTCAAATGGCCGAGGCGATTACTCAAATGACGAGTGTGGAGAGAATATTGCAGTTTACTGAGTTCGAGAAAGAGGGACCGTTCGAAAGTGATCCTACGAGCAAACCGTCCAGTAACTGGCCGTCCAAAGGAGGAATTAATTTCGATCGCGTTTTTCTTCGATATTCCGAGACGGATCCGCCTGCTCTCAGGTCCTTAAGTTTCATTATTGAACCTGGCATGAAGGTAATTACGCGATTTCAATTCGTAACACATTCGTTCTGTAAACGAAAAATGAGATACTTAACCCTCTGAGTTCCAACTTTTTAGTTTCTAGAACTTTGGTGTCATTTTAATAGAGATATCAGATAAATGTAGTTTTATTTGAAAAATAAATAATTTTATTCGAAAACCCTAGCAAAAAATAAATACGTTAGAGGACACAGAGATCAATTAAAATATTAGTAATTTTATACGCGGGGGATTCAGAGGACTACAAAGAAGTAAATTCTACTTCCGTTTGCCGTTTAATTTCTCAGATCGGTATAGCGGGACGCACCGGCGCGGGGAAATCGTCTCTCATTTCAGCTCTCTTGCACATGGCGAAGCTGGATGGTGTCATTTACATCGACAACGTGAACACGAAGAAAATCGGCCTGCATGATTTGAGAAACAAAATCTCCATAATACCGCAGGAACCAGTACTGTTCTCTGCGACATTGCGCGAGAATCTCGATCCTTTTAACAAGTTCAACGACGCCGACTTGTGGACCGCTCTGGAGGAGGTGGAGTTGAAAGAATCAATGGACTCGTTAGACCATTACGTCCAACAGGGCGGTAACAATCTCAGCGTCGGCCAACGACAGTTGATTTGCTTAGCGCGTGCGATTCTTCAGGACAACAAGATACTCGTACTCGACGAAGCTACTGCCAACGTGGACCCCATGACGGATGCGCTGATACAAAATACAATCAGAAAGAAATTCAAGGCCTGTACGGTGCTAACGATAGCGCATAGATTGAACACTATAATGGACAGTGACAAGGTGCTAGTGATGGATCATGGTCAAGCAATTGAATTCGATCATCCGTACATTTTGCTGCAGAACGATCAGAGTTACTTTAGCAGTATGGTTCAGAAAACTGGGAAGTTGATGGCCGAGCAGCTTAAACACTCCGCTCAAGAGGTGAATCTACCGTCGCATTACCCAGCAATATTTGTACAATTGAGTATAAGGTGTATTTAACACATTGATTGCCAAAAGAATAATTATTTCATAGCTGGTATACGAAAAGAATCCTCCCCTCTCTCTCCATTAGAGTTTTAACTCGCATTTTCTTATTAAAGAAATAAATGTTTAGAGTACTGCTGATTAAATTATAAATTTTATAAAATCAATAAATATATAATTAATATAATATCAAAATAATGCATTAATTTTAAAACGATATGGGGAACTCTAAGACTAGTATATTCTAAAAACTCTCTTTTATCGATAAAAATAGCTCTACAAGTAACTTACAAGTCTTCTGACTGATTATAAGCCATTTTTGGAGTTATTTCCATCGACAGAAGAGAGTTCAGAATATCGATTTAGATCTTCTAATGTTACTATGACAATATTGAAAAAGAATGGAAAAGTTCAGGATTATGACAGTCACAAAAATAAAGAACGAATGACACGGGTCTCTTTCAGAGACAAAAGGAATCTCTGATTTTTTTGGCAATATTAGTTTCTTATATTTCTTTGATTCTATTTTTAGAAATCCAGTGTGATTGGAAAAATACTCATATATCTATGTATCTTATCTTTACAGGCTTATGAACAACAGCATGGCTTCATGTGACTTCTAGTAAAAGTATATCAGAATAATTAGCACATCTGTGCTAATAATTTAGTTTATACCTCAAATTCTGTTTAATTGGACGACTTATATTAAGAAGTCTAGTCAAAATTTTACATTAGGAAGTCTAGTTGAAATGTTACACTAGGAACATTCTTATAATGTTAGTACTTACTAGGTACTTATTTGAAAATATGTACTTAGACTTGTATTTTTTATATATTCATGCAGAGCAGAAGGTAACATTTTTATTAAAAACAAAAAGCATATATAGTATTTTAGCTTGCTGTTTACAGCAAAATTATTTTGGTCACAATTTAGAAGCAATATTTTATATAGCAATATACTTTTGCTATGCAATTGACAAGCTTCGGCAAGAAGCTTTTGATAGACTTGACAGTTTGTATTTTATACAAGTTTTTAGAAAAATATACGATATGAAGAAAATTTCCAGATTCTTCTATCACCAATGATTGTTGAAATTTTGTAATATATACAAATAAAACAATATTGTTCCATAAAGAGAGAAAGAGAAAATCATATCCTCCCTGTTCACACTTGTACCACTTCAAAGTGAAAAGCATCAGATCAACTGCACCACACCAGACTTAACCAAGTGCGCGACCGCGCTGTACTGCACGATATGCTGCGAACCAGCATCGAAGTCTATTTCCTCGTTTAGCGCACCATGTAGAACGACACCGGTGACTCGCTGATTCGCGCGCAGGAACACGTACGCTTGCATGTTTGGTTTAACGGTAAATTTGTTCACCTCGAAACGCTGGAAATTCGGCGGCATGTGCTGCAACGCCACTGTCTTGAAGAGCGTCTCCATGCCGGCGAGGAACTCCTTCGCGAAGCGCAACTCGCCTGGCGTCAAATAACACTCGTCCTCGCTGCGACTAGCTTCTTCCGACAGGATGTGTAAGGTGTAACGCTCGATCTTCTCCAGGCGTGTGCGTAAGTAGCTGGAGATCATGTACCTGATGCGCTCCACTTCCATGCGGTGTACCAGCATACGCAGGTCGCTCCGGTCTAACCTCTTAATGTTTCTCTCCATGTGCGCGATCTGCTGCAGCATGCAGTCCACAAGGTTCGACTGATGCGGCAGGATCTCCGGCGCGAATTTCTCATTCATCCAGGCGTTCTCGATCGCTTGGAGCGCGTCTTGCGCCGTCAACTCCCCGACATCGTCGTCTTCCACCTCATCCACAAGACTCTCCTCGAGGCTCTCTTCCATGTCTGTTGGGAAGATTAATGTTTAACAACAATAAGAGAAAGAAATCAAGCACGATATGATAGTTTCGTAAGAGACAATATGTATTCGTACCAGATGTGTTGATCCTCTTCGAGAAGATTTATCGTCGATATTAATCATCACGATGCCGTCGCAAATCCATCAGACAAAACTAGGATTGTAACAAACAAATTGTAAGAAACAAACTGCCAAGTCGTTCAGGCTGTTTGAATCGCCCTTCGCGGATCACGTGATTCGACGCTCTCTGGATAATTGCGTTCGGCGGAACAAGGCGATCAGCGAGCTGTCGCCGATTATTGGTCCTTACTATCAGATCCTTAAATTTGGACCAATTACTTCGACGAATTACTCGATTGTAGTGCAACCGTCATGTTCGCTGAACATACCCGATATTGCATAACCTGTATTGACGTTAGACGCATGCGCGCGTGAACCTAGTCGTGGGACAATATCGCTCGATTCTCCCATCACTAATCTGAGATCGAACAATATCGATTTTTCTTCTTATCGATTATTTTCAAAAATTTAAATTGACTTCCAATTTGAATTTCAAATCAAAATCGAATTAAATTAAAATAAATTTAGAATAAATTCTTTCCCCTTATATATAAAAACTTTATTTAATTAAAATAACTCATTTAAATTAATATATAACTCATAACTTACTCCACTTGATCTATTTGAATAAAATGATGTTTTATCTCTGTATAATTCCAAATTTTTTAAACCAACCTTATGATTTATAATAATCATTATAATGATTAATTAATGTAATTTTTTCATTTGTTATGTTAATATAATCACGGTGGAAATTTTTCCGTATAATTATTTCGTTATATACTTTATTCAAATATCTTTATTTTACACACACACACACACACACATACATACACACACGGATCAAAGCAGTTTTTAAGTTTTCAAGTTAAAAGACAGCTACATGTCGTTTTATAAGGTATATGTACGTATTTGAGATTTTAAATTACATTGTAATTTTATAATAATTAAATAATTTGCTAAAATACAACCATGACATCTTCCAAATAATACAAGAGATTCCAGTATTATCTTAAACGTGAATACTTGAAGAGCACTTCAAGATGTTCTTAATATATTTGGAATAATCTCAGGTTATTTTATGCTGTTATAGATTAGCATAATTGTTAACCTCGATCGATCGTTATACCATCAAACTTTAGACACGAACTATCCCGAGTAATCCATCTTCGTATTCTATTCTTATTGCACCCTCATAAGGCTTCTGTGTGCGACACTCAAGGTATGCCAAGGTATTCCCAAATCCTGTATAATTTAATAGAACAGACTTCTTAAGACTGTTTGGCGACTTAGGATGGTTCCGTATATGTCACTACGAAGACGTAAGGCGAAAAGGCGATGCATATTTAAGCGGAACTCACTATCGCGGACAACCCGAGCCGCATCCAAGTGGACCGAACAGGGAACTCCTCCTGCTAAGCTCCACGGAAAGAATCGCGAGAACCCACATCAGCCATTTGAAACGGTGTATTTGGATTAGTTCGTTCGACGATTTTCTCCAAGTAGCACGGAGGTGAGAGGACGTCGAATCTCACGCAAATTTATATCTTTTATCCTTTATCAAGTTATCTAGATTTACGAAGAAAAAATTTGAGAAGTCTGTAGCATTGATCAATGATTACTCTGTTATATTTATCTTCATTAACGTGAAGTGGAAATTTATTTATTTTCGTGTAAGAAGCTCACCCTCAAAGCTTGCTTTACATTCGTAGTTTTGACACAGTGGATATACGTTTATAATAACAATTGTGTGATTTAACTTTATCTCATATAATTTAATCTTATATAACTATAAATTTTGTCTTATAACTTCATCGAGTAGCAACAATGTAAGTAAATTATAAAATTATACAAGGAATATATCTTACAATATTTCGTATACAAGTAAAAATGTAAAAAAAAAGGTATTACTCACAAGCAAGAATAATTATGAGCTCTATATTTTTTCTCACAATTTCATGTACATGTAATCTTCATCCTTTTTCTCTTTGGAAACCCTCAGTTTAAGTATTAATTGTTCAAATGATTACCGAATAATAAGCAACAGTAAATATCAATGTCGACACTGTAAGACTAACGCAGACTAAATTCTCGCAGATGACTATGTTAACCGTCGCAAACGGGCCGAGCCATGCAGCTTACACATGGGCAGCCCAGGGAGGCGGATTTGGCAACCAGACGGTGGTGGACAAAGTACCAGCGGATATGCTCCACATGATCGACCCCTATTGGTACCAATACCCACCGTTGAATCCGCTATGGCACGCGTTGCTTGGTTTCGTAATCGGCGTACTCGGCGTGATATCCATTACCGGTAACGGCATGGTGATCTACATCTTCACCACTACCAAGAGCTTGCGTACTCCGAGCAATCTGCTCGTCGTCAACCTCGCCGTTTCCGACTTCCTTATGATGGTGGCCATGTCTCCTACTATGGTACATATGCCCCGCTATGTTTATACATGCTGTGACAGAGTGCGATCAGTTCCGGTTGATAATCTTCTGTCCTGTGCGTAGGTGATTAATTGCTATAACGAGATGTGGGTGATGGGACCCTTCTTCTGTGAATTGTACGCTATGGCGGGCTCCCTGTTCGGGTGTGGCTCCATTTGGACGATGACGATGATCGCATTCGACAGGTACAACGTAATCGTCAAAGGCTTGTCCGCTAAGCCGATGACTATCAACAGCGCCCTCCTTCGCATATTCGCCCTCTGGTTCTTGTCGTTGGCCTGGACGTTAGCTCCGCTGTTCGGCTGGAACCGGTGAGACACTGACAGCAAAATAATGGAAGAAAAATATTGAACGTTACTTCGGATTGTACAATGATACATATTTCGCAGCTACGTGCCCGAAGGCAACATGACCGCCTGCGGCACCGATTACCTGAACAAGGACATGTTGTCTAAGTCATACATCCTGGTGTACAGCGTCTTTTGCTATTTCTTGCCGTTGTTCCTCATCATCTACAGCTACTTCTTCATCATCCAGGCCGTTGCCGCTCACGAGAAGAACATGCGTGAGCAAGCGAAGAAGATGAATGTCGCTTCTTTGCGATCAGCCGAGAACCAGAATACTAGCGCCGAATGCAAACTGGCGAAGGCAAGTTTTCTTCGCGATTTTTCTATCTAGTCATTTTCATACATGTAATACATTAGTTCTCACGAGTTCAGACGAGATTGATTCTTATTAATCTTCACTCATATGTGATTACAATTAGAGGTATATCCATGAGTGTAATCAAGTCAAAACCATTTAAAAATTAATTTCAAAAGTATTTAAAAAATAGATTCAAAGAAGTCCATAAACGAAGCTTTTATTCTTTAATTATTCTTTAGTTTTTCTTTGATTCTTTGTTGCTATTTTTGTTTCTATCTTTTTGTTATTCTTTGATATGTAATCAGGTATGTCAATTGTCTTTCAAAACATATTTGAAAATCTATAGGCAAAGCTTTTATTCAATAACACAATAAGTTGAATATCTTATTAAAAACAAGCTATGAAGATATTGTTTGTTATATACTACACAATTCAAGTAGAAACTGATAAGAATAAGAATTTTTTAAACATTTGATTACTTATGAACATATTCCTATAATTTAATACATAAAAAAAATTCATTCTCTCCTGCACACACGCAGTTGCTATAATGCTTTTACTAATTACAGGTAGCTCTTATGACCATCTCTCTGTGGTTCATGGCGTGGACACCGTATTTGGTCATCAATTTCGCGGGCATCTTCGAAACAACTAAAATCAGCCCGCTCTTCACAATCTGGGGCTCTGTCTTCGCGAAAGCGAACGCCGTGTACAATCCGATCGTATACGGCATCAGGTGGGTCAGCGACTCTACATTTGAAAAAAAAAATTATCAGCTAATCGAAGAACAGCTAAAAGAAGTACAAAATTCTGAAAATGAAATATTATAAATTGATCTCTAGATGAATTATATATATAATTTTATATTTTTAAACCAAGATAAATTACGCTTATCAATAGAAATGTGCGAGTCAAGAATTTTTATGTCGAATTAAATCAAATCTATGAAATTTCACTCAAATTCGAATCGAATTGAATGAAGTCGAATCGAATCATTAAAAAATTTAACATGACTATTAAACATGCAAATAATGATGGAAGATTTTAACATGAAAGGGAATATTGATATTGTAATATCATCTTAAAGTAAAATATATATTTAAATATTTAAAGTAATTTATAATTAAGTTATTAATTATAAGTTAAGTTAATTACAAGTTAAAGACTCAAACAGGCTCAGATTTAACCCGTTTTGTAGCTGATGCACGCAAACGATAATGTAGTTGATTCCTATTCGAATTATTTGGATTCGAATCATAAGGATTCGGATTCGAATCGAATCGAATTACATTAGATTCAATTCGATTCGAATTCGAATAGTTCGCACATCCCTACTTATCAAGTTTGGCATCCTCTTAAATGATAGTGATAGCAAAATTCTGAATAATATAGAACCGTACATTTGAAGAGCGTAACGAATCAGTCGAGCAATCTTCAGTCACAGCTATCTCTTATTTCTTACAACACGAAGAACGACACTGATCTTTGCCTCGTGTGATTTCAGCCACCCCAAATACCGGGCCGCTCTCTTCGAGAGGTTCCCGTCTCTCGCGTGTGCCACCGAGTCGGCGGCTGGCGCAGACTCGACGTCCACGACCACCACAGTCACGGAGGGTGAAAAGCCCGCCGCATAAAGTAACGATATCACATGCATCTATTTTTCGACGATACAACAGACTCGTTAGATAGACGCAATGCAATCATGATATAGTATCACATTGTCGCCACGAAGGAGGAATCGCGCCATCGAGCACGGTAGTTGTAAATAGTATATGCGGCAGTATTTTGCGTGAGAAGACCATTGTGATCAACGAGAGAAAGAGAAAGAGAAAGGGGGAGGGGGAGGGAAGAGGAGGGAGCGCATTCAATCGTGATACTATGTTACAATAAGAGAAACGCAATCGCATTTTTCTGCGATTGACTGTGATCCGAGCGGGGTGATCGTCCAAGCCGATATGCGAAAAGTATTCAACAACAAAAAGACCGAGAGCGATATGAAGAGTTTCGTTATACCGATAAAATTGTTAAAGGACTGTCAAAACGGCATTATGAATCATCGTATACGATTCCGTCGCACCACAACGTGAATTTCTTACGGATGTTTCATAATGCAACCCTAGATCATATTCTTCGGAGAACTACAATATACACATGGCCATTTTGGAAAAGAAAATAAAATAGACGGGTTGTCGTGGATATCCACGATGCGTGTTATAGCCATAAGACATCGGCGGTAGGAAGTCGTGTCTATGTAATAAATTTTATAAAACTACTGAATAAATTCTGCAAGCAATCATATTTGGAAGCAATCATACTTTTAGTCCTACCGAGATCCCGTAGCGGAATGTCAATGTCAACATGATGAGAGAAAGAGAGAAAGAGAGAAAGAGAGAGAGAGAGAGAGAGAGAGAGAGAGAGAGAGAGAGAGAGAGAGAGAGAGAGAGAGAGAGAGAGAGAGAGAGAGAGAGAGAGATGCTATGACATTTCTGTTACGTCCTGCGGACTCCGCGTACTCTAGACTTCTTTTATAAAAAGAAAATTGAATTTTATATTACTTATTATATGGTCGAATGCGTTCAGGCATGTTATCACACGATGCGATGGTCCTGGAATCTCTGGAAGTTTCGATGCTCCGGAAATATTAACAAATCCTTGAACCAACTCGAATCTTGTTTCCCACTCGCTTAGTCAACGTCGACAATATGGCGACCTCCTTCTTAACCGTAACTGAACTCAGCTATTCTCTTACTTATCATTGAACCAACTCGGATCTTGTTTCCCACTCGCTCAACGTTAACAATATCGCGACACTCTTCTTAACCGTAACTGAGCTCAGCTATTCTTTTACTTATCATTGGACAACTCGGGTAAAAAAATATCGATGTTTCCTTCCTAATAAGATTGCTGCCGCATTTTTTTTTGTAAGAACAAAGAGATCCTTGAAATCCTCTTATTGCCATATGCATCCTATCTCCTATAAAATTATCTTAAAGACACTGCAACGTACTCTTAATCCCCACCTCGAACTAAAAAACACTCGAAACACAGTCCTATGACCATATTTCGGCATAAAAATTAGATTTCCGAAGCAACTCCCCAAACTCCACTCTTTCAACCGAGCTGACGATTTGAGCAAAGCCAAAAAGTCACTTCACTTCTCGACAATCTCGCGAGCTAAAAGTATCCAAAGCTTTTCTCTTACTCAAAACATAAAAACCTTCACTCACTTCTCGATAGTCTTGCGAGCTAAAAACATCCAAAATTCTCTTTTACTCAAAACATAAAAACTAGAGACGTACGAATCAAGAATTTTTATATCAAATCGAATCGAATCGAATCTCATTTTTTAAATTCGAATTCGAATCGAATCTATGAAATTTCATTCGAATTCGAATCAAATCGAATCGAACTATTAAAAACATGAATATTAAACGTGCAAATAATGATGGAAGATTTTAATATGAAAGGAAATATTAATATTGTAATATTATCTTAAAATAAAATATATATTTAAATATTTATAGTAATTTATAATTAAGTTATTAATTATAAGTTAGGTTAATTACGGTAATTAAACATTATTAGTTAATAATTAATTAAAAAGTTAAGGGTTCAAATATATAGGCCCAGATGGCCCGTTTTATAACTGATACGCACAATATATTTTATTCGTATTCGAATCTTCGTGATTCGAGGTTTTCGAATTATTCGGATTCGAATCATAGGGATTCGGATTCGAATTCGAATAGTTCGCACATTTCTAATAAAAACCTTCACTCATTTCTCGACAAACCGAAAGTTCTCTCAGCTTCTCAGTCTTGGATTTTACTCTTCATACTCGCGATTCAAACCAGTGCAGTTAAGTGCTCAAAACTCAGCCCCGCCGGCAATAGGGTAAAAGGCTAACCTCCTGCATAAGAAACAGATGGCCAATTTCCCTATTCAGGGCTTGCCATTTCACTTTTAATCAACCAGGTTCAATTCTCAGCAAACAGTAAATTATTCACATGTTGTTTTTCTCTCCTAGATCGGACTTCCTCATTTGCATCCTTTTCATTTAATCTCGAAATTCGTTGCAGTGGGCTATCGCGTCCAGAGATCCTACGTAACTATCAACCGAGTCCTCGACTTGTTAGGTTGGCTGTTTGACACGGGCGATCACTATAGTCTCGAATCATCTGTCCGATATCTTCGGACATTAATTAATATAGTCTTTGAAACCGATTGCCATCCAGACCTATCATTCCTGTTCATTCCATCACCCATCTTCCCGTACCTCTTAAATCCTTCCCGAAATACTTCTCCACGCTTTGCCACTAGTTCACCCATTTTTCCTATATCTTATTCACCTGTCTCTCTCTCTCTCTCTCTCTCTCTCTCTCTCTCTCTCTCTCTCTCTCTCTCTCTCTCTCTCTCTCTCTCTCTCAACTTTCCACTCCCCCCAATTCACCGAACCGTTCTTCTCTCCTCACCAGATTAGATATTATTCGTTTTCCTTTACCTTTTTCTCCCTTCAAAATATTTGCGCACAACAGTTATATAACATATATGTTGCCGACCGTCTGGCATAATATGCATAATTGTATACTAACTACGCGAAATCATTGTCACACAAAAGCACGTGCCGACAATATTTGTTAAAGCAATTTAAACTTACTCTTAGATCTACCACAATAAAATGTGTCATCAATTTTTTATAATTTATATTAATTTATTTTTATAATTCAAATCACGTTTCCTCCTTTCTAATTCATTCCCCGATTCCAACTCGATTGACTCGCGGTCCAATCCCAGGTGAAGAGATTTAGTTCTCTGATCTAAAAAGTGGACCACCCGCTGTCCACGACGTGATCGGAATAAATGGACCCCTCTGATCCCTGACTTGTGTCGCGCACAAGTACGTGCAAAACTCGCAAGTGCGAGTACACGTTGCGCTCCTCCTCCAGGACGTAACATTTCAAATGTCGTGTTTTCATTCACGTTTCGATTAATCTCTGAGATCATAAAAATGTAACGTTCATCAATCTGATGATAGATTATAAGATTAATAAACTCGATTAATCTACAAAATCATTGAAATTTGAATACTGATCTAATCTTTCTTTGATCCACAAAATTAAAAAAAAGAAACATCAATAAAAGGATCTTCTGAATCGCGTTATACATGCCGAATAATTTATTGATTAACATCTTTTGTGCATACTACACATACAATCGAGATTAAGTGCCTCCTCTATCGCTCTTCGCTTTCTGCGAAGATAATAATATTCAATACTTTAACTGCTGTAAAAGGAGAGAACGTAAGATGAAACTGGAAAACGAAAATACGAATTTCTCATGTACAGGGTAACAGCAACATACAGGTCAGTATGACGGGTTGCTTGCCCCTATTCGAATGATAATGCAGAGGTTTCCGAAAAAAGTCACTCGTTGACTTTGTTGATAATGATATTTGCAGTGTTCCCAGTTATGACAAATGCAACTAACTTTGCACAGTGTTCGTTATGACAGTTTATCAACCGTTTACCGACAAGAGTCGAACCTCATTGAATTAAAAAAGATGTTTAAAAAATGAAACTGAGAAATAAATATTACGGAATAAAGCAGAATAAGTAAAAGTAATATTTAAAGAAATAAATAATACAACATATTTCCTGGTTTCGCATAATTTCTTAATTTCTGTCTTCTCACGTTGGAAAGTTCGATAGAAATTGGAGATTAGGAAGAAAACGATATAGAAATATTTAAAAGTCTTATATACTGTATTTCATCCATGTTTCTATAAAAAATCGCTTCTGCAAAAGTATGAATAGAATAAGTTCCAAAAAATCTCGACAAACAGGCTCTATTTTCGATAAAAGATGCAAGACTATAATGGCTCTATAGATTATAAAAGGCCCTATTTTCGATGTCAATATACAAGACTAATGTACCGAAAATATGTTGTTTGATAGTTGCGGTCGATTAAATTGCAACTAATATTTATATTGCATTTCTAGTCCATTCATATTTTTGCAGAAGCGATCTTTCGTAGAAACATGGATGAAACACAGTATGTAAAGACCTTTAAATATTTTTGTATCATTCTTTCTAATCTTCAATTTCTATCGAATTTTTTAACGTGAGAAAACAATTAAGAAATTATGCAAAACCAGGAAATATGTTATATTATTTATTTCTTTAAATATTACTCTTACTTATTCTGCTTTATTCCGTAATATTTATTTCTCAGTTTCATTTTTTAAACATCTTTTTTAATTCAATGAGGTTCGACTCTTGTCGGTAAACGGTTGATAAACTGTCATAACGAACACGGTGCAAAGTTAGTTGCATTATTTCATAACTGGAAACACTGCAAATATCATTATCAATAAAGTCAACGAGTGACTTTTTCGGCAACCTCTGCATTATCATCCGAATAGGGGCAACATGTCATACTGATCTGTACGTTGCTGCTACATCCTGTACATGTTTGAACATGAACATGCTCGAAAACATTTGCTCCACTCAAAATCCCATGTATGTAGCTTTTCGCATAATCGGCCATCCGTAACAACTATTGAAGCTTTACAAATTACAAATTTTCATACATATTTTTTACGGATAAAATTTACAAAATTTACACGTCCATGAAGAGTAATGTACCCGAGATCACTCATTCGTTGACCTTTCGTGCATGCGCGACGTGTAGAAGAGTATATTCTGATTATATTGTATCACATAATACTTGGAATTTACGATTCGTCACGAGGCACTACGCTGCTGTCGTCATGGACGCTGTTTCCGCGACTTTTTCCGGAGGTGTCGGTTCTTCGGTCGAGCCGCATACGAGGAATGGTAGCTTCTCCTTCAGCGCTGCTCTGTACTTCGGATGACTGCGTAAAAGAAATTTATCAATATCAATTATGTATGATTCCATCGACGCGATCGAAATACATTAAAGAAAAGTAACAGCTTACCTAATCCCATAAACAATAGGATTATATATAGCGTTTGCCTTCGCGAAGAGAGATCCCCAGATGGTATACAGAGGACTAATGCTGGCACCACCGAATATACCAGTATAATTAATAACCAGGTACGGAGTCCACGCCATAAACCACAAGGAAATAGTCATTAGAGCCACCTGTAATCATATTAATTTAAAAAAAATAAAAAATTAAATAAAATAAATTTATTATATAATTAAATTTTTGAAAAGTAAACTGAGCTTAATTTTCATTTAAGCAAACTAAACTTTGTTTATTAATTTTTACTTCTTAAAACTTAACTTTTAGTTGAGTAAGTTAAATTGTAGTTAATTTATTTAACTTTTTTTAAAATAAATTAATTTTTCAGCTTAATAAAAGTTAATTTTAGTTTACTTAGCTTTTAGTTGTGTGAATTAAAATAGTAAAGCTTATTAAGTTATGTTAATTAAAATAGTTAATTGAAACGGTTAATAGCCTTACTTTTGCCAGCTTCGCTTCCGCGCTTATATTTTGATTATCTCCAGATCGTAAGGACGCGACGTTCATTTTTTTCGCCTGTTCCCTCATTGCTTTTTCGTGAGCAGCTACTGTCTGTTGATTAAAAAATACATAATTACGGATGTAGAATTTTTTTTTAAACATGTAAGCCTCTAATCTGTACTCACTGAAACAATGAAATAATAGCTGTAGATTATAGTAAAAAGTGGCGTGTAGTAAACGAATATTGAATACACCAAGATGTAGGACTTGGAGCTCCAATCTTTGGTCAGATAATCCGTACCGCAAGCGGTCATGTTACCTTCTGGCACGTATCTAATTATGCAAAAGTATGTAAAAAAATATATTATCTATCAAAATATTTAAATTCATAATTTTCGAGTCCAATTTTTTTTACGATTTATTTTTACGATAAAATGCATATTATAATTACAATATACGATATGTCCTTTTTGTAAGAAGTTTTGATTATCTTGACGTTACCTGTTCCATCCCACCATTGGTAAAATCGTCCATACCGAAGCGAAGAGCCAGATAAGCAAAATTTCGAGTAACGCTTTCTTAATGGTGAGTGGTTTCCCTGCCATTCCCTGCATATATGTATTCCTTAGTTTTCGTTCCCATTTATCGAAAAACACTGTGGACATATATATTATACATACCTTTACTATAACATTATATCGATCTAAAGCGACAGCAGTCATGGTCCATATCGAGGCGCACCCGCATAAAGAGCCAACCATTGCGTATATGTCGCACATCAGAGGTCCTTAACATAAAATCGATTTGTTAGGATGATCGTAATTTATTAAAATTATAATTAAAACAAACAATTCTTTAAAGAATATCAGGTTTTAGGATTTATAAATATCCAGATCTAAAAGAGCTATAACTTTTTACTTTTAATCATTAAAAAATATCAGTTAATCAATATTAAAATACAATATTAACATATATTAACAAAATGTTCATACACATTCTAAGATTTTTATAAATAAAAATAAAAAGACTGGACATTATGTGTGTATGGGGAAGTTTTTCTTTTTTTAAGTACAAAACTCTTAAGTGTCAATAGATATGCAATTTTTAGAAAGAATTCTGCAATAATGCAAGCTGGAAGTTTACATTACCTAACACCCAAGTCTCATAGTAGCAGTTGATCACCATAGGAGGAGACATAATGATCATCATGATGAAGTCTGAGAAAGCCAGATTTACCACTAAAAGATTGCTAGGTGTTCTTAGCGAGGGTGTCATCAGGAACACGTATACTACAACACCGTTGCCAGTCCATCCCATAAATCCCAGTATGACCATCACGAGTCCTAAGATTTTGTGCCACATTGGATCCAGTGGTGGAAACTGATACCTGTAACTCACAAAGGCCTTGGTAATTTTACATTTACTAATTTGCATCAGATAGTATATATTAATAGTCGCATAGCGCTTATTAATCATATAAAAAAAGTAAATATCAACATGTAGAAGTTAATAATAACCAATGTGAGTCGACCAAATGCAGCATATCCGGAAGTACTTTATCCACTACAGTCTGATTGTTAAAACCCATGATTTGCCGCATAGCATGAGATGTGTCCATAGTCAGTACATTAGAAACAAGTGGCACGGTCGTTTGTCTGGATAAAACGGTCGAAGCTAGATTTTGGGCTCCTACTGTACTAAGAGATTCCATTTTCTGAAAGTATCAATAAAAGTTGATTTTGCTTTGAGCAGGAAGAATATTTATGAAATAGAGAGAGATGCATGAAATAACTTAAAGTTCATTGTAAAAATAAATATACATTGCATATATACTTTTTGACACTATAGTGTTTTAAAATATAACTGTTCCTGGACTTAGATCCCAAGTTTAAGACAATAGAAAACTTCAATTTATAAAACATCAATGCTCTGTACTAAGGAATAACTTGTAATGGTATTGTGTGTCACACCAAGACAGTACAAGTGCAAGAAGATCGCAGTCTTCTCTTATATATTCTCCTTGCACAGAGAGATCCAATAAAATTATCCAATTATATATTCAAATGCAGATCTAACTACATACATAGTAGACAATAGATGCATACATATTAGACCCGTGGATGTGCGATGCATGTAAGATTACTGTCAATTATTATTTAAGGTAAGCTGGCTAGAGTGAAACTTTACAGATGTCAATGACAAATGTGATTAGAATTGTTGTTATATTTATTGTATGAGTCAACATTTTTCTATTTAATCTTAAATTCATATTTCTTCATAAATTATATTATTTAATATCTTAAATCATAATTATATATATGAAATCACAAAAAATCTCTGCTTATTTTATTGCTTTGGATATCCTCCGAATATGTTGGCTACGACTCTCTTGTAAAGCCTCTTCCAACTGTTGAGTTATGTGGAGTAAGTTGGTAGGATCTGTTTGTAACAAAACATGTTCTATCTCATCTGAATTGTTGGGATTTTTTAATGATAGATCCAGGGTAACGAGTGGTGCAACTTGCTTCAGAAGGCACCTAGAGGCAGTCTGTAACAAGTATAACATAATTCAATTATATCAACATAGATAGAAATTAAAAAGTAACTTGTAAACTGTATTACTTGAACTTCAAATCTCCATTCCATGTCGTGATACTTAGGCAGTTGAAATCCAATTTCTTCAAGTGTATCTGTAACTTCATCTTTTTTGACATCATAAAGTTTGCTTAGTATTGCCTCCTTCTCTTCTGTGAAACCTAAAGCAATGACAGAATCCCGGAAATCTTCCGCATTCAACTACAAAATATAAGTACAGTAAGCAATATGCCATTATAAATTGAGATATTTACTTCATGTGTTGTTTACCTTGTGCTTACAGCTTTCCAGCAAAAGGTTAACCAAACCCTTAACTGAATTTTCTATCACATCCAACTCAACGTTCAACTTTTCTGAAACAAGTACAAGATAAATAAATATTAAGCAATAAAGGCTCTTAGATATACAATTAATTATAGATTACTTTGAAAATAGTAATAATCTACTACTTACGAGCAGCAGCATTATACATTTTAACATTCGGACCTTTTTGTAGATAATCCAAAGCTAATTTGCAAAAATCTTGTAGAACTGCGAAAATCACGATTATTTCTTCGGATGTTTCATAGCAAAAATAAATTTAAATATTGATAAGTAGTTTACTCGTACCTGGTGATGATTGTTCGGTTAGAAACAACACATGTTTCTTGTGATCCGGTTTCAATGTTAGCAGCATCTTTGGCACACAAAATGTGTTCTTTATTCAACGAGATTATATATTCATTCAAATCAAATTTTAATGATAATGTGACGCCGCAGCTGATTTCTAAAGCCAGCGACACACGGTGCTTGTTTTCGTGCTGGATTGCTTGCTGGATGAAAATACTGCGTTCTGATTGGTATATTTCCATCCATCTTCGGAAATGTACCAATCAGAACGCAGTATTTTCATCCAGCAAGCAATCCAGCACGAAAACAAGCACCGTGTGCCGCTGGCTTTATATAGCGATGGGCTTGAGTGAACCGCGATCGTCGTCCCGGCCGCTGGGCGCGGAGCGGTGTGAGGGGGACGGTAGGCATCACCTACTAAATTTCGCTCAAAATGTGCAGATCGTGTCCAGCTCTGCCCTAGATTATCAAAGAAATGCAACCGTTACCCCCTCCATAGTTACCGTCCGACATGTAAGGCCCACAGCTGATCCATTGAGTGAACAAAGTATCCATGGGTGTTTATTTCTAGCAATCTGATTTGTAATCGAATTGGAAGCAGTGATATAAACTGACTTTAAAGAAAGTTCCCTAGACTAATTCGATTTATGAAACGTGTCCTCGGAGCAATCCGATCAAATCCGATTAGCTCATAACAAGTAAAGGACGTGATTGCATCTTGATTTATTTGCATTTCGAAAAAACCATATTAAGATATCAAACCTAATCTTTTATAGTTGAGTATACATACATATCTTAGGTATATATCTTAGGTAACTTATAATTTGATTCATATTCTTGTTTAACAAAAATATTTTTATAAATATTCTTATAGAACACAAACATGGATTTATTACTTTTATGGAATATGTTTAATGATGACGAGGAAAATGAACCTGAATGGCAAATACATAGAGTAAGAGAAGAACATATTAAAATTAATAACTTTTATGAAAACGTCGTTCTTTATTATTCATTGATAGGTAAGAAGGACACACAGTAAATATACACACATATTTACTGAGTTGAATATAACAATGTTAAACAGTAATTTCAATAATATAGGTTCAATACTTATAAACAAAACAAAGATTTATTTAAATATCGTTTAATATGTGTACACGCGTATAGGTATATAAAATAATATAAGCATATAAAATTTTTTAAATATTTTATATAATGTATATATAATATTGTTTTGTCATGTTATATATGTATATGTTTTCTTTTAGATTTTAAAACACATTTTCACGTCAGAAGAGAAACTTTTGAAGTATTGATACAACATATTGGACCATACTTATTGCAACTAGACAATTGGCCTAAGATACTACTAGAGAAACAGATAGCTGTAGCCTTGTGGATATTTGGCAATCAAGAAGTTTATAGGTTGGCAATAATAAAATCCATTTCTTATATTACAATAAAAATTCACAGGTAACAGAGTGTTACCTATTTATGTTTATAAACCTATTGAGTTTGTATTTATACGTAACTCTGTTACATATACTTTATATATAACAGAGTTACATATAAACACAAACTGTCAATAACATAATATCAATATTATAATTTTCTACTCAACAATGTAACTGTTACATAACATGCACGTTATATGTTATATTTAAATTAGACAATGAGATATTGTAATATTTATGTTATGTTGCTGTTAATTGATGTTTACTGGGAAACATTGTCTTTTCAATAATATGATATATATACCGTATTGATCCTGTTCACATAGGTTTTCCTCTTGTTCACATGCCATACTGATTTTCAAGTTCTAAAAAAATGATTATTTTGATAAACTTATGTGCTAATAATTGAAGTAGACACAGATAAACTAATAGACTAGCATAAATACGTCAAGATGCATCCTTGTACAAAACAGAATTTTGTTAATATGTAAAAGAAGGCATCTGATGCCATGAAAATTGTGTCAATATTGCAGAAATTTTCTATTGTCATAAAAATTGCTACCAATATGCTGGCAAAAGAACTAAATTAATACAAAATTATTGTAGTAATAAAAAGACCATACTATGTTCAGTATTCTGTCTATCCGAGGAGTGGCAGGTTATTCATTATAGTTTATTAACTTTTTGAAAATATATATCGGTGAAATATAAATATATCTTGTCAATAGACATTTGAAGGAAGTTGAAAATTAGGTAATTATCCAATTTAGACTTTCACTTCCGATTTGGTTGAAATTCACATATTTATATTGTGTTTTAATGCATAGCAACCATGTATACCATTATATTGTGTTTTAATGCAACCATATTTGAAAGTCAAAATAGTCACTCTACACTGCAAAGCCAGATATGAATAGTTGAAGTTGACTAATATTACAGATTACGAAATCTGTTATTGCGACAAATTATAGCAGTTTCATTTATTTTTTTTTAATAAAACAAATAAGAAGGAGGTTAAAGATAGCCGCAGCAAAGTACAAGTTAGAAGAAGAAAGTATTTTGCTATTAATTGCACAAAAGACAAGAAAATTGGGTAAAACTAATCGGTAAAAAATTTAACTCCCTTATACTTTGTACTTACCTCAAACCACCTTGTTATTTGATTTTTTTTTTAATAAAATTAATAACAAGAAGGTTTCAGATAGTCACAACAAAGTACAAAGTCATTAGGACCAGAAAATATTTTGCTATTTAAAATAAAAAAAAATTAATCAAATAACAAGAAGATTTGGGATAGTCGTAGTAAAATATAAAAGAGTTAAGTTTTTTAATTAATTTCACCCAACTTTCCTGTTTTTTGTATAATTAACAGAAAAGCACTTTCTTAGCCTAATTCTTTTGTACTTTGCTGAGGTTACCGTTAATTTTCTTGTTGTTTTAATTACAAAAAAAATTAGTAAATCAAACAACTGCTATAATTCATTATTATGACAGGTTTCTTAACCTATTATGTCAGTCAATTTTAATTATTCATATTTCATTTCGCAGTGCAAAGTGACAATTTTGATTTTCACAGTGATTTCACAGTAGATTGCTTTGACTAGAAAAGTAATTATAAGATTCATAAAGTACATACCTATATATTTTGCCTGATTCGTATTAATATGATTTGAAATGTAAATCACAAGTAAATAAACCACGTCCTTCTCTACTCGTCATGAGCTAATCGGATCTGGGTACCTATTATGGAACTCGTCGGAATCGATTCCGATCGAATTTATTTCATTACTTTCTAGATTTCTATTGGCTGCATTCAGCAGACTCAACAGTTGGACAACATTACTAGATTTTCTACTGAATCTCGCTCCTGATTGGTAAATACTTCTGGGTCTATGAAGAATCTAAAAGAATGCTCCAATCATAGACAATAATCACTAAGCGCTCTCTGATCACTTTGTTCTACTGAACGCGGCCAATGTCTTTTCTAGGGGAAACGGAATTATTCTGATCGGAATCGATTCCGACGAGTTCCATAATAGGTACCCTGATCGGATTGCTCCGAGGACACGTTTCATAAATCGGATTAGTCTAGGGAACTTTTTCTAAAGTCAGTTTATATCACTGCCTCCAATTCGATTACAAATTAGATTGCTAGAAGTAAACACCCCTATTATAAACCCGGCTTAAAGCGTGGTCTACAATGGCAGTAAAGGCCATCACACGTAGAAAAATTTTAACCGTAACCGTAAGGTTGTAAGAAAACTGGCCAATCACAGTCGATCCTTTCTCTTGTGACATTATAATAATCGACTGTGATTGGTCAGTTTTCTTACAACCTTACGGTTACGGTTAAAATTTTGCTACGTGTGATGGCCCTAAGCAGTAAGAAGTAAGCGTAAGCGGTAAGAAATAAACCAATCACAGTCGATTATGACAAAAATAATCAACTGTGGTTGGTCCATTTCTTACTGTTCACACTTACTTCTTACTGCTTACTGCCATTGTAGACGACGCTTTAGAGCCATAGCATATAAACGAATTTAAGCAGTAAGACATAAGCAGTAAGTAAATCGACCAATCATAATTTAAATTTAAGATCGCCATTTTAAAATTTACGAGAATAATTGATTGTGATTGGTCAATTTCTTTATTACGTCTTATTGCTTACGTTTTTTTATGTTCATCCGCTTTATTAAATTCAGCCTTAAGGCCCATCTACAATGGCTGCAAGAATAAAGGCTCGTCTACAATAGCTGTAAGAGTAAAGCCAGTGGCACACGGTGCTTGTTTTCGTGCTGGATTGCTTGCTGGATGAAAATATTGCGTTCTGATTGGTACTTTTCCGAAGATGGATGGAAATGCACCAATCAGAACGCAGTATTTTCATCCAGCAAGCAATCCAGCACGAAAACAAGCACCATGTGCCGTTGGCTTAAGGCTGTAAGGCTGTAACGTAAGCTGTCAGCGAATGAAAATATTTCATTTCGTATTTTGCAACCTTACAGCCTTAGGGCCAGAGCACAGACTTCTGCATAACGTACAATACACAACGCATAAGAGAATCAACAAATCAGAGTTCTTAATTTCTGTCCTGAGAAGGGAAATGAAGAACTCTAATTGGTTGATTCTCTTATGCGTTGTGTATTATGCGTTATGCAGAAGTCTGTGCTCTGGCCCATTCTCTTAAGTCTGTATCAGACTACGGATTGGGATTGAGTATTGGATTGAAATTTAACCAATCAGGAGTAAGTTTACTATACTTGAGATTATTTTCTCTTTTTCAATTGGTCAAATTTCAATCTAATCTCAATCCCAATCCATAGTCTCATACGGGCTTTACAGCTAATGTAGACGAGCCTTTATAGATTCGGGATAATGCTTATGTGAAAAATAAAGACTTTTTAATAAATATTCAATAAATGTACGCCAATAAAATATATTTATTCGATATGCTATTCCATATTTTTTCTATTTGATATTTGTATATCAAAAGTGAAATAATATCGAATAGTCGATAATTTCGAATATCGATAAACATCACTATTTCCAGGTCCCCCCACCAGTTCCCACGAGTGCGCATCATTAAGCTACAGAATTCTTTTCTCTCACAAGCGTTTAAGGTGTACGGCTGGGATAGTTCGGCAAGATGGTATGATTGAAGTTATCTTTTCGTAATATTAAGAATAACATTATTTTCCTTGATATTATTCTTCCTTAAGATAAATTCAATTATAATAAATACAAGTCAATTATTAAAAAAGAGCGAGAAAGTAGGATGCTTATTTCCCAGACAGATTCGTCATTGCTTCGTGGTTGCGTTCTTTGTGGAAAGATTTACACATTTTCCATTTTTGTATAATTTTAATACTTATTTTTTATTTCAAAATATACAGGGTGTCCCATTTAACGTGAGACATCGAAATAACTGGAAAATAAAACAAAAATAAAAATCGCTGAAACATGTGTCGAACGAATTCCGAGGACGAGTAAAATGGCATGATTCCTTTTTCATTTGGTGGACGTCCTCAAGGTGATTTTAAGGCCAACTTTGTTATTTTAAATGAAAACCTATATTTTTTATGACGGAAGCATATTCTATATAAAAAAACAATTAACTCTTGTCAGAAAAATTTTTTTTATTTTATCATTACTTTCGAAGATATCGTACGAAGTAATTCCGATTTTTATTCGAAATGAATAAAATAAACGTATTATAATAAATGCTCAAAATGATGGCCTTCCATTTCCAAATACTTGTTAATGCGATTAATAAAAGATCGATGCACTGATAATAAAGTCTTTGGACGGATATCGCGACAGGCATTTCGAATTCGTTCTTTCATGTTTTCTGGTGTGGTTGATCGTGGTGATTTAACGTTAGATTTTTATTTACGAGGTCACCTTAAAGAAAAAATTTATGTTTCAGCGATTTTTGTTTTTCTTTGTTTTCGAGTTATTTTGATGTCTCAAGTTAAATGGGACACTCTGTATAATCATATATGTGACATGTCTGTGAGTGATTTCTGTAACTTTCTTATAACCATAATTCCTTATGAAATTCCTTATATAAAATGTCCAATATAAAAGTGTTCTTATATGTGGATTTGTAAAGAATGTCTTTAAAGAAAATAGCATACAATGAAAATTCCATGAACCATGTTAATTATATAATTTATCTCATTGGAAAATAATATTTAATTGATGATTTTTACTGCAGATTTAGTTTATTTCTATGAATAATAATGAATAATGAAAAAAAATCCTTTTAATCCTGGATATTACAGTTACAAAAATCATCTCAATTATATCATTTCTTATCTGATTCTAATTTTTATAAACTTTTGTATAGGGTTTTATCAAAATAGTTAAGAATAAGCAGTACTTTAAACGGTATCAAGTTAAATTTAAGAGGCGTCGTCAAGGAAAGACTGATTATTATGCTCGAAAAAGATTGACCATACAAGACAAAAATAAGTATAATACTCCTAAGTACAGATTGATTGTACGAATATCTAACAAAGATATTACTTGCCAGGTAAATAGAATAATATATTCAGCCTTAATTTATTTTTTAATATTTTATATTAAATTTGTATTATATAATTTGTATAAATTGTATAACTAATATATATTATATCATAAGGTGGCTTATTCACGGATTGAAGGAGACAGAATTGTATGTGCTGCTTATAGCCATGAGCTTCCAAAATATGGAATAAAAGTTGGCCTTACTAATTATGCATCTGCATATTGCACTGGTTTACTTTTAGCAAGAAGAGTAAGTTATTTTTCCTGATTACTTTCCAAAATATATTTATAAAAAACATATGGAGTGATCTTTAACATGATGATATATAATCTCAGCTCGCTTTGATGTTTCACTGAAGAAAACTAAGGTTCCCAATTATTATAATCTGATGATAAAATTGTCAAATATGTGTAGATTATATTAAGAAATTAGCCAATGTTAAAATCAATTTTTTATTTTCTTAGTTGCTGAAGAAACTAGGCCTTGATACTTTGTATGTTGGTAACACGGAAGTATCTGGTGATGAATTTAATATTGAGGAATTAGATGGTGGTCCAGGTGCATTTAGATGTTACCTGGATACTGGTTTAATGCGCACTACAACAGGTGCACGAGTTTTTGGTGCCATGAAAGGCGCAGTTGATGGAGGCCTTGATATTCCTCATAGGTGATAAATTTAGTTTTACAATTTTTAAAATATATCCTATAATTCAGTTGTTTTAACAACTTTTTATCTTTACAGCACTAAAAGATTTCCAGGTTTCGATAACGAAACAAAAACATTCAATGCAGAAATACATAGGCAACATATATTGGGTCAGCATGTTGCCAATTATATGAGAACTCTTGAAGAGGAGGACGATGAAGCCTTCAAGAGACAATTCTCGCAGTATATTAAGCATGGAATTTCTGCAAACGACGTAAGCAATTGAAATATCTTGGATCTTGATGTGCTATTGATGATCTCTCTTTCGATATACATGCGTTGCGTATTTAAATTATCTACATGTATTCCGAACGGCAGTATTAGAGATTTTACTAGACAGGGATATAAACTCTCGGTGATTTGCCATTGCCTTCCGAGAGGAGAGCGATCGATTAACATAATATTTGGGTTCTGCTGGGAATTGATCTTCGGCTTTGTAGACTAATGTGCTGTCTACTATGCCTCGCTCTCGATTGAAATATAATTTTGAATATTTGAAATATAATTTATCAAAGTAAACTTATGTTACACTATCATTAATCCATATATATACATGTATATAGACATTAAACAAAAAAATTTTTTTTATTTAGATTGAGAACATCTATAAGAAGGCTCATGAAGCGATCCGAGCTGACCCAGAATATAAGAAGATCATCAGAGATAAAGAACCAATTAAAAAGAGATGGAATCGCGCCAAGTTATCATTGGCAGAAAGAAAAAATCGTATAGCTCAGAAAAAAGCTTCATTTCTTCAGACACTAGAAGAAATAGAGACGTAATATACGAATGCAAAAGAATGAGGCTATACAACGAATCTGTATTTAATTTAATTCCAATATATATATTATAAATAATGAATTTTTTTAATTGTCAATTTTTTTTAAATTATGCCAATTGTTAAAAGCTTAAAAACAACATTTAGTTTTGTTCTTGTATAATTTCAATTGTTTTTCTTCCTATGTATTTCAATTTTTTGATGAAATTCTATCATTCAATATAATACGATATATAATATATAGCATCAATCAAGTATTAATCAAGTATTTGATCTTGCGCATCTTGCATCATGTTTCCGTTCGATGGTAAAATTCTTTTGTTTCTTTATTTTGTGCTGCTGAACAATAAATAATTTTACGTTTTTGTTAATTTAACGTTATCAAATATAGATATAAAATATAAATAACAATGAATATATCAGAAAACAATACATTACAAATATATAGAATTTTAGAAAATCATTTATAACGATGTGATTGTTCTTTCCGATATATCACTTGCATCACGTGTAAAATTTTAAGGTTAAAAACTTTACAGTATTTGTTTTAAAGATATCGAGATTAATTAATTACGTAGATACATATATGTCCTATCTTATATAAAGTTTAATTGTCAATGTATAAACAGATGTTAAGTATTCAAATTCTTAATTCATTAAACTTGATTAAGTAACATTTATTTAGATTGAAAAAGCTAGCGCGATTTTAACGGAAAAGTGACAATCTGCTACGAGAACCGGGCAACCGACCTTGTGCATCGATTAAGCCAGTTTGAACATTCGATAAAGAAGGAACAGCTTTCACATCACCGCGCGCCGCCATACAAGGTGGTGATTTCAATAATCGCCTTGTTACCCTATTAATATCGTCTTTGGATATTTCTTCTGTAAATGTAATTTTTTCTTATAAGTGTTGCTGACATACTGGTTTTATAAAAAAAATTAAAATCTTTCAATTTATTTTAAATCAGAACTCTCTGTATGTGGCTTACCAATGGCTTGTATGAAATATTCTGATCGTTTTCTGGAACCAGTTGCCAAGACCTGTCTACCTATATCTTCAAATGCAACCGGCCGTTGTTCTAGATTCATAAGTAACATGGATTGCAGTTGCTTCTTTGCTCTCTGCATAAAAAATAGAATTATTAACGTGTGCAATTATTACATAAAATATAATTATATAAAATAGCGATTTAATAAGATTGAAGCTAATTTGTTTACATATGATTGATTTTTTTACTTTTATTTTTTTTGCAGTCGCACATGCATTGAACTTATGCGAATATATGTTAATAATATATAGAGAATAATATCTTACATTATTTTGATGAACATTTTAAGAAAATATAATCATAATAAAAAAAGAGAATATAATTATGAAACACAATCATACCGCTAATTCAGTGTCTGTAACTCCATTTGCCATCGCGACCATTTCCTGTACAATTACTTCTACCATTTCTTTCATGTGAGGCGCTGTACATGAGGCGTGGATACAAAACAGTCCAGTGTCAGCATAAGCATGATTATATGCCGTTGCACTATACAACCAATGATACCTGCAACATCAATCATTTAAAATGATATTCTTAACTATTTTTTTACTTTACATCTGAATGGAACATACAGAGTGATATAAAAGTAACTGTGTCTTACCTATTTAACACGTTGGTATACAAACGCGTATACATGCCCTTTCCAGGACCACCTGCGCTAAAACTGCCACCACCTCCCATCATCATATTTAACACACACATAGCAACAAAATCTGAATCATGATGGGAACAACCTTCTAGACCTATGACAACGTGTGACAATTCAGGCAAACCACTAGGTCCTGCATAAGTCGGAACGTTACATTGTTCCTATAAAAACGTAAATTATTATATTCTTATTTTTTTAATTCATATATCTTTATATTTTCATTTTATGATAAAGCAGTTGCTTCAACAAAATATATGAATGACCATACTGAAACATATCCTCCTGTATATTGTGCAATAGATCTATCGACACTATTTTCATTATTCGGCAGAATAAGATCGGTCTGTTCCTCCCAGATGGGTTTTTCTTCGACAAAATATCTACGTAAAAGAAAACGTTATTAACACTTTTATATATATAGAAAAATAAAATTTTTAAGAGATACTTTGAATATAATGTTAGAATGTGTTCTGCTTATTTCGGAAAATCTATCGGATTATTTCTGAATCATTTTGTTACCATCTACTGAGAATTTATGGTTATTACTTATTAACGGCATGGACCAAATCTTCATGTTCCACACCAACCCCGGCAACTACCATTCTACTTGGTACATAATGGTACTTGAGATACGTGTGCAAAACTTTTCTATTAATCTTTTCAATGTTGTTTTCTGGACAGATCTTGGGTAAGCCTAATGTGTTGTATCTGTATGCAGCCTATCAACAAATCATATTCATAATTATATATTTTAATATTTATAATATTTATAATAAATTTATATTTTAATTATCACAATATATATTTTTTATATATCTAAAGAAATATATAAATTCAATGTATAAGTTTCAGATCAATTTAGAAAATTTATTAAAAATTAGAACTTACAGCATGAATCATGTCCATCAATATGGGCTCCTGCTCCGGTCTAGTGTGTAAAGACTCCAATTCAAATTGTACTGTTTGTTTAGCAACTTCTATCTAAAATGATTTTATTTTAATCTATATCTATCATATATATATATATGAACATATTCTTAAAAATATTTGTTAATATTTCAATTTGATTAAATAACAAAGTACAAAACAATTTTTATGTTACATATTGCATATGTACCTCTTTATCTGTAATTTGTGGTCTTAAAACAACATCACCCAGAACTTGAGTTACTAAATCCAGTCCATGACGTTGTGCTGATGCTGCATAGATGAATGTATCTCTAGATGCTTGACAATCACATATAGCACCATGCTTTTCCAATGCTAACATTATTTCATCCTTGCTGCTGTATGTGTTGGTAGACTGAAATAACACGTATGTGTATTTGTCATAGAGATATAAGCATTTATTAAAAGACTTTTCAGTAGTTTGTAAACCTAAGTTATTTATCCTAATGGACTTACAATTATATATATATATATATTACAGAATTAAACTAGTTAAAGATATATGTTAATAAACTACTATAATCTGCTTGCTATATATAAAAAATAGAACAATATTTAATCTTACACCAAATGCCAGTTTTTCAAGGAAATGTGAGATACCACTAGGATATGCCACTTCATATCTTGGACCAGAATCAATAAGAACTAAAAATTAAATTAGACAAACCCATGTAAATATAATGTAATTATATTAACTTTGCTTCTTTTCAAAGAGCTTTTAAACTAATGCGATATATTAGAGTAAAACAAGTATATTATTTTCTTTTACTTTCACTTATTGCATTAGTGTCGACTGGTTCAAAAGTTCTTTGAAAACAAACAGATCTATGGGCTGCAATCAATGATATTTGCATTTTATATTATAAAAATTTAACACTTACCACCTACAGTACAAAATTGTCCAAACCGATTTTCTGATGCTACTTTTAAACCATTTGATAAAACTGTGATTTGTGTTGTTTGATGTTCTTCTTTTGCGGTGGAATAAACAGCTTTTGGCAAATTAGGGACAGGTTCTGTCAGTGGTGGAAATGGTGTAACGCTTTTCTTTGTAAGAGAACCTTCTAAACCAGGAGGTTCTCTCTGAGAGGAGAAATTACATTTTTGCCAAGTGTTAAAGTATTTTGTTTGCGTAAAACTAAAAAATTAAAAATTGTTATACAATAAGGAACATTTACTAGGAGATAAATATGTAAATATTTTTTATATTATATAATAAAATTAGTTATTAAATCAATAATATATCATATCTAATAATAATACCTTTTTTTAACAGCGACGATTAATTGCTTCTGCGATATATTAGCAAACATTCTGTACATTTTGTCAGCTCGAAGATTCTTAACATACAAGTACAATTTGCCTCCTCGAGTTGCTGCTGAAAGTCATAAGGATAAAAAAAAAGAAAAGCAGTAAATGTTTTTAAGTTTCGTAAACTCACAGATTTAACGTATGTACAAGTATAAACATACTCTAGAACATTTGGCAGTAATATATTTTATCAATGCATAGAATATAAGTTTAAATTGTCTAGAAATTATATCCTCTACACACAACATGCCCATACATCACTTTCCTTTTCATCGAACACGAGATAATAGATATTCACGAAGTTATATTAATCTGCAAGAGTCGGAGAAAAAAATTACTTCTGTAGCACATAGAGGCTGCGTTCCGAAATGCACTGCCAATATTGAAAGTACATAGTTTATGTCACGTATATTATAGAATTTCAGTGTTGGCAGTGAATATCGGAACGCAGCCAACCAATCGTAGTTATTGTTTAGCTTGGATTAAGTTAAATTTGATTTATCTGATTGGTCTATGTCGGATATTTGTGATGTCAGATGTAGGCTGTGTTCCGAAATTCACTGCCAGTACTGAAAGTACATAGTTTGTGTCACGTATACTATAAAATTTCAGTACTGGCAGTGAATATCGGAATACAGCCGATATGTGCCTGCACTTTCTTCAGAATGTGAGGTTATATAGGTATAAACATAAAATATATTTTCGTTAACACTTATATAAAAATATCAATAATATATTAATATCTCTTAGCACAAGAAACATATATGTCTGTATTTAAAACTATTCTATATTTTTAAGCTTATTTTCAGGTCAATATAAATGATATAGTCAGTTATAATGCAAAGCACGTTTCCAGTTAAGTTGTTGGTGCAGAGAAGTTATCTAGCCTCGTCGATTATTGCACGAATTTTGCCTGTTCGTAACACCCATACGCAACCGAAGCACATATTAAAGATGAACGAGGCGTTCCTTCGCTATGAGAAAGACAGTGATGTGTTCGACATCTCCTTTCGCTATGTGGATGAAGTTGCAAAAGTAGATCGTCAGTTTAACTTTTCCAGGCAAGCCACAGAGAGCGTCAACAATTTTCTCAGTAGGATCAATACAAATGTTTGTAAATATATAAACAATAAGGTAAGGAAGATATTAAAATGTAACGGTGAATCCCTAATGCTAGGATGCACTTGTCAATTTTGTTGAAAAACATATCTGTCAAAATATTAAATAATATAGGCAAATATTGAAATGAAATACAATAAAATAATATAAGGATCAATTGATTGTTTTTATATAGGCAGAGAGGAAGAAAAAGAAGAACACTGCTTGTGAAGTACCTGTACTACCACTCGATAATGTAGATTCTGGGAAGATAATGCTTCTTAAGAATGATATCCAGGTGGATGGCAATATATCCTGCAAGAGCTTACTACAAGAACCGACAGAACTCAAGCTAGTTATCTTGGAAAAGACATATATAGTGAAACGGAACATACCTTACATCTCTAACATTTCACTGCCTACAAGCATGCTGGTGGGCTTTCCAACTTATCCAACTAAATTTGAAGCACTATATACTGACAAGAAGCGATCGATATTCAACTGGTATAGGAACAATGCTGTCAACAATAAACCGGATTCATGGGTCCATGTGAATGAGGGATATCTATATATACCAAATGTACCAGACATTGGCTGTAACATGAAAATTAGCTGTGTGCCATGGAATGAGTCAGACTCTGGTTGTATCATTGAAGTGCAATCGAAGAATACTGTAGAAGCTGGTCCTGGTTTGTGTCCGTTTGACATTCGACATGAATTCACAAAAAACAGACTATCGGGCAAAAGGTATGACATTAGCAAAATACTGTATATATTTATATATAGTAAATATAGTAAATATAAAATTTAGTATACATTTAAGTATATATAGAACATTGGATGTAAAATAGGTGTTTGAACGTGTGATACTTAAAACATATTATATATCGTACTGGACAAAGGTACTATATACTGTATACTTGAACGAAAAACATTAAGTTTCAGAATAATGTCTTACAATATATTGGCAGACGCGTACACTGATTCCGTTTATTCCAAGGACGTGTTGTTTCCGTACTGTCCGGAGTATGCATTGGACATAGACTACCGAAAGCTATTGATACTCAAAGAAATTGTAGGTATGTGCCAAGCAATTTACCAGTCGTGTTAGATCGTTTTATCAAACGTAGCAGAATCTGCAAATAAGACATTCATAATTAGTACTTATTTTGACTACCGTCAAAGTAATAATGTTATTGTTATATTATTTTTTGTTATTGCCGCAGGATTTAATAGCGACATAATCTGTCTGCAAGAGGTAGACCGTAAAATATACGAACAAGACTTGTTACCATCTCTGTCCATGCTGTACTATGATGGTATATACGTGACGAAGAACGTGATAAGCGAGGGACTCGCTATGTTCTTCAATCATGAGAGATTCGACATGTTAAATGTCGAATCCAAAGTGATAAGTCACGATGTTGATTCCCCCAAATTTAAGGAAGTTTGGAGCAAGATCGAGAATGACAGAGTGAAGGAGAGATTTTTAAATAGGAACACGACCGTTCAGGTATGATCGTGCACGATTTCTCTTGCGTTATTGATACTTATTAATCAAGAAGATCGAATTTAACTCAGCTGTGACACAGGTAATGTCGTTACGATCGAAAGAAAATCCATCTAAGATCCTGGTCGTTGGCAATACGCATTTATACTTTCGACCCGGCGCCTGCCACATACGTTTGTTACAAGGATATTACGCGATCACGTATATAAATGAAGTAGCGAAGGCGATACGGGAGGAGGTAAATAAGTATTTCGAGAAAAAGAGAAACATTATTTTTCATGGAAATTAACGTTCTGCGGAAAATGTTATTTTCTTCAACACTTCTGTGATTCTGTTATTGACGACTGCAAGTGTACCTCACTGTGTCGACAGAATCCTGGTTGCGACGTGAGCGTGTTACTCAGCGGAGACTTCAATAGCGTGCCGGAACGCGGTGTATATCGGTTGTTCACCGAGAATTACATTCCGGAGAATTGCGAAGACTGGAGAAGTAGTGAGTTACTCTCTTTTTTTATCATTACCAGTCCATGGAGTCCTGGCTTTTCTCTCTCCTGTATTTTTGCTCATCACTTTATATATATCTTGAGATGCAACTAGAATATGTACAGGATGGCCCACGTAAAGTGTTACAAGTCCATAACTTTAAAAATATTTATCAAATCAAAAAATTCATAAGTTCATAAGGAAGTTTCATGTATTCAAAAGGCCTCTCTAACTACATAAATGTAAAGTCGCCCCCGCTTCTCCTTGGTATATAAGGGGGAACGGGGGTAACTTCATAATTTTAAATGGAACCCCCTATGTTGCATATATTTGGATTTTATGGGAAAAAACAAGTAAATTTCATCTGAGACATTTGTTTGGAAAATGCTTCTATCAAAAGTTATAAGCATTTAAACCTTTAGCGATTTCATTCATGATTGAACTCCATTGACACAAAGTTCGCGATACAACAAAAAAGACCTTAGAGTACATACTTGATGTTAACCAAAAGAAACATAAATAAACACATTTATCGGGAAACGTAAATACAGATCACAAATAAATACAGATCATCAGACATTTAGTTAGTTTTGAACTGGTTTAAATGCTTATAACTTTTGATAAAAGCATTTTCCAAACAGATGTTTCAGATGAAATTTACTTGTTTTTTTCCCCGTAGAATCCAAATATGCAACATTTTATAGGGGATTCCATTAAAAATTATGAAGTTACCCCCGTCCCCCCTTAAAGGGAAAGCGGGGGCGACTTTACGTTTATATAGCTAGAGAGGCTCGAATACATGAAACTTCCTTATGAACAATCTTTTTATTTGATAAATATTTTTAAAGTTATGAATTCTTGTAATACTTTACGTGGGCCACCCTATATAATCGTCATATTCATGAAACCACATGAAATTATCGCGTGTTTTGTATTTCAGACGCCGAGGAAGAGGTGGCGAACGTATCCTTGACGCAGGATCTTCGGATGTCCAGCGCTTGCGGCACGCCGGAATACACAAACTACACACCGAACTTTTCCGCTTGTCTAGACTACATATTTTATGAGAGAGACAAGTTCGAGGTGGAGCAGGTGATTCCAATGCCCAGCAAAGAGGAAATCACTCTTCACACGGGTTTGCCGTCCATAGTATTTCCCAGCGATCACATCTCCTTGTGCGCTGATTTAAAATTTAAGGAATAATATCGGGGAATCATCAAATGAGGACTAATTGACTCTGATTGTACCAGTTGCGTCATATTCTGATTTGGATTTCTATTGCGTTTCAATGTGAAAATATGACACTTCTACCGAAAGCCATTATCCTTACGCAATACTGATTGGTAGATATCAAGCTTATGTGAAGATGGAATCTGGAAGAGAAAATTTTATTGTGTATAATTAAAAAATATCGACTCAATTGGCAGACCATTAAAAGTGATATCAGAGCCCTGTTTTAGGATGAGAAGAGATTCACGAGGAGTGTGGTGTTATTGATCCAGGGAAGCATACGACTTCACAAACACACATGCGAGACACATCACATTAATCTGATTTATAGTGATTTATAGTGATCAAAGTATACATTCATGTTTCAGTAATACGAAGATACAGTAAAGTAACATTACTTACGTTTATACCTAGTTAAAAGTTAATTTACAAAAACTTATATACAGATGAATATCGCTTCCTTCCTTTTTTGCTTCGCAAGGCTCGGTCATGGAGATCTGCAGGTAACGAGAAAAGTCGCTAATTTCTACCATGAACGTTTTCTACGTCGCTAAAATCTTCCCGTGTTACTCTCTATTTAAGCGAAAGATCGGAATTTTTGTATCGTTGCTCAATTCTTTGCGGTCTACAGCGTACACGTAAGAGGAAATTTTCCACAATTACATCTGCGAGCGAACTTTCAAAGAGAGAGATGAAAAATATATTCAATTGAGTCGTTTGCGAAAGCAACCGCGTCAAGATTCTACATTCACAACTCTATGTTACATATCGGATGAATTATCATATTATTAATTTAAGAGAATTCGAGTCTCTCGATGTAGTTTAAAGTTTATAACGCAACTATTTATCGATCTGCAATGTAAAGAATATATCATTAGTGACGAATACGAGAGTACAAGATTTTTTTGCTTATACAAATGATTTACAGCTGCTTTATCGTTCAAACGGTCATTCTGAATCTAGAATTATGATGGATTCACTTTTTGGAGTATTTCTCAACGAAATAAATTCATTTGCAGCTCTAAAAATGGGATCAATCCACTTGGTCCATTATTTCCGGCGTAACTACCGGTGAACGATTTGATGCTAGAAATATTAAAATTAATTTTACGAATCAAAGACTAAGATTTCATAGTGAGATCTACTTCAACATTTTGATTAGTAGCATTGTTGAATTTGTAATCGTATCTTATCCTAATGCGATATCGCGTTAATTTATTATTCCGATATATGCAATCGTCTTGTGCATTTGTGCAATAATTGAGAAATTTTTTTAATACTTGCAGACCTCCTTTCTATCACATCATCTCCTTTCGATCTTCCTTTCTCCGTATAAATGTAACAAATCTAATGTGTGTCCTAAAGCAATTCTCGTTATTAAGTCCTATTACAGCAGTCGTTACGAGCATATCCTTAATCCTTTCTTCCCAATAGAAACATATGATAACACATCAACAAATAATTTCCAAACAAATTGAACTTCGTTCAATGTTCAGTGTGGCTGTGTGGCAGCACGGCTCCATCGCCAACTATTCTCAATCTTAAACAGAACACATTTCTCTCTTATATAATACATCAAAGTCAAAGGGAACTTCTTTTTCTCAAGCATACACACACACACACACACACACACACACACACACACACACACACACACACATATACACACGTACACATTCATTCGAAACTTGCTGGCTTTTATTAAATTATGATACAGTCATACAAAAGTATAGCTTGGTAATTATGAAACTCACGAGCGATTTAAAATTAAATTAGATTTACGTACTTATCTTCCTTTTCTATGTTTATCTAATAATTTAATATGTAAATCAGGAACGAGAGGATTAAGGTTTCCACTTTGTTTCACCATTCATTCTATGTGTTTTACTACCGTAACAAACGATCGATTGAATACTTCGCTATTTATAACGTAGTCCGTATCGATCGCAAAAATACAATACGTCGACATATACGAGACGAAACATTACGTCGCGTCAATAAATAACTGTCTTCTTAATTTCACAAGAAACACAAACACACGATTATCACCTCATAATGAAACAGAAGTGCGTGCATATATTTTATTACAATAATGAAGACTTTGGGTCCATCAGAAATACTATGTTATCACGTCTCACTGTGAAAATCTAATAATTTGGCTTTTGTATGTTCATAGAATTTTAAATTATCACTTCTTGTTTTAAATTTTCCGATATAGAAAAATCATCAGTAATACGATTTCATTGATATAAAATTTTCCTCGCAATTTCTGCAATTTCCACAATTTCTTACGTTTCATTATATAATATACAAGTTACCTTAACTTAAGGAGAAATTCGGTACGATATATCTGTTAAAAATCAGATACCCAAAGAAATTTAAACCAAAAATCGCAAAATAACTTTCGTATCGAAATAATGTAGGATTTCTAACGGTTGCGTGTATATATAAGCAGTCAAATTCAAAGCGTTGAAGAAAACTGCACGTCTTTGACTGCTATGAACGAATCTCGTACACCAAACGGAAGTTCATGATTGCACGATGATGGTTGTGCCGTGAGAAACGCAAAGATCAAACGCAATGTACAATGTCACATACGTGAAATTATTGCAACAAGTAATGCAAATATCTACCCTCGACGTGCGAAATCCATCGCTCAGACTCCCCCTCCTTTCTCTTTCTCCCGCGCCTTAGCAATAAAAAAAAATATATATATATATCCATCAGATAGTAACAAGAGAAACAGTAAGATGCAGAAACTCAATACTATGCATAGGATTTACACGCCAGTGATTTACGACTGTGTTTCGTTCGCTCAGGATCATCACATGCCTCTTCGCGGCGCGCTCGGCACCAATAGTTGCAGCGCGGTCATCGCATCCGGGAACAGTGAGTGATAATTCACCACTGGCACGTAAGCAGCGGTTATTACTCGACCTGCGAACCACCGACCGTGCAACGAGTTCACCGCTGCCACAGCTGTTGCGATCGACGGACATTTCACATATACATTGCCCTGCGGCGACGCCTGATCCACGTATACGTGCAGTACGCCACCATGCTTGTTGCACTCCTCAATCACGTCGTCGCGAATCTCCTTTGCCCAGTTGGGATTCGTCTCACTAGAAACGGAAAATTCAATTACGCTCTCGAACTAGATTCAGATTACAGACCTTAAATTAATTAAGATTAATTCGCAAAAATACATCCTATTAGATTTTTACCCCCTTGTGCATTATCCCGAGTATACTTGTTCAAACGGAGTTGTTCCCATGTACGCGATGACGAGTATACTCGTCCAAACATTTTTTTCTTTTGAAACTACTGAACGAAATCATTTAGAGAGCCCTGCGATCTCGCAAATTAAAGTTTGAGACTAGCATTTTAAGATAGATTTTTTAAGATAGATCGAGTTGCGGTATCGAATTTATACATATTATAAAAAATTGGATTGAAAATTGAAAAAAAAAAAAAAAAGAGAAAATTCATATAATCATTTTCTAATTTTTCGTTCTTACAAAAGGGCCCTAAAAGTACTCAAATCGGTCTGGAAACTCTTACTTAGGGGGTTTTTGAGATCGCTAATGGCGAATCTGAAGTCTGAATTTCAAAATTCAAAATGGCAGATCCAATATGGCCGTTAAGTACACGATTTCCCAGTCCGATTTCGACTTTTTCATTCTGATTTGCCTGGAAACTGTTACTGGGGGGTTTTAGAGGTTGCTGATTACAAATCTGAAGTCAGTATTTCAAAATTCAAAATGACGGATTCAATTGCGTTCAACACTCATACAAGGACTAGGATTTGCTGTACTTTCCGTTTGATAAAGTATACCCAGGATGCGCCACGTCGAAGCTCCAAATTCGATTTTACATCCTTTTTATTTTCAATTGCTGAGTTCAGATTTGTAATCAAATTCGTAGTAATTCCTCAAATTCTTGAGTAATAGTTCTCAAGTTTACCAGACGAGAATCTCCTAATTTTCACGGGAAAACGTATATATGGCCGCCATATTGGATCCGTCATATCAAAATCTGACTTTAGATCCGTCTTCAGTAATCTCAAAAACCCCCGAGTAATAGTTTTCCGGCCAATCGTAGCAAGAAAATTCAAAATTTATTGAATTTTGGGTACGTGAATGCCATATTGGATTCGCCATTTTGAATTTTTTAAGTCTGACATTAGAAATTCCTTTACAGCAAAAGAATTCAGGATTCACTGAAATATTGTGTGCGAGATCGCCGATATAGGATCCATTTTGAATTTTTAAATTCTAACTTCAGATCCGTAACCTACGATCCTTAAAAACCTTAGAAATGACCGCGTTTACTTTGCAATCCTTTCTAAAAAAAACTCGTACATTTTGATAACGTTCAAGACAGGGAAAACTCTTATGCAAGAGGGCTATTAATCATATAATTTATAAAAGAAAAAAGTATAAATTTAGTATAAATGAAATAAAACCTCTAAGTAGGAGATGAAATTCAAATCATAAATAGTAGCTCGAATAAAATTACTCTTGTAATAAACGTGTCGTGTTATCGATAACTCGCACGCGACTATGCTCGAGTACGCACTGTAATTTCAATAACATTTTGCTTTAGCATATGTATTCCCCTAGTGAATGCAGTAGCATATGGCACTAGGTCTACTTATATGCAACTAATCGTGCGAGCTCGTTCAACACAAAAAATTGACTTACTTCTGCGGATCGAACATATTTGACAACATGAAACATTGTGTCGCGATAGGAGGCGCAGCTTGAGGTGGTGGTTGCGGTGCTGTCATCACTGGTGCCATATTTAAAGCGTTCGCTGCTGCGGGTGGTATCTCCAGGCCGGTACCTTCCGCCAATTTGAACATCAATTGCAATCTGCAACAACAATATCATAGGTTCGAGAATTGCGCGAAGTTCTTTCTATAGAGTATATAAAAAGTACCGGGACGGTGAAATATCATAAAAACCAAGCATTTTAGAAAAAAATATTTCAAATAAAAATTATAGGGTTTAAAAAAAATCTATTTACTGACATTATAAGTTTGACTTTGGGTGGCGTCGCCAAGATCAGGATAAGATCACCTTGAAGATTATAGTGCTTTGAAAAGGTCTGAGGAAGGGCTACAAGAATATGCATTAAAAAATAGGGGGTCCCATTTAAAAAATTCAAGGTGACCTTGTCCTGACCTTGGCGACGCCACCCAAGGTCAAACTCATAATGTCAGTAAATAATCTTTTGAAATTCTACAATTTTTATTTGAAATATTTTTTTCTAAAATGCTTTTGTGATATTTCACCGTCCCGGGACTTTTTACACACCCTGTATTAGTATGAATTTACCCTGAATTCGTATTACTTATTCTCTTACGTACCTGCCGGTTGCTCCAAGGTCAATTCCACTTCGATCAAGCTCGTCCGTATCGAGAAGAGATGGTCCTTGGATCAGATCAGTACGTTCTGTCACATTTCCAACTTTCATCGGTCTGCCAGCGAGCTCGAATCCGTTTAATTGTTCCAAAGCTTTCTTCGCATCGTCCGCATTTCTGAACTGAAAACACAACGATAACTGAGTAAGTGTAATAAGATTTGTTTAAAACATCGGCACGCACAGATAACAAACAGATTGCAAGTAACCGAGTGATTCAGTCGTCATCATATGATAACACGATAACATCATAAAAACTTACCGTTAGGAAACCGTAGCCTTTGCTTCGCCCAGTTTCTGGATCCATAATCAGCTGAATATTGTCGATTTTCCCGAAAGGTTCGAAGATTCCACGTAGCATATCCTCCGTGATGTTGAAGTGTAGAGACCCTACATACAATCTCATAGGTCCGGTTTGTCCCTTCGGCATAAGATTCGGCATTGAGTTGCCCATACGATTCTTTTCAGCTTGCGTATGTTGCACCACAATGGGCACTCCGAGGAGCTTCTGACCAGACAAGCCGAGCGCCTGCAAAGGAACGTCAAAGAAGTCATCTTTAGTCATCCTCGTTGGATCTCTCCTCAAAAAATGCCGTTAAATATGCTAGAAGTCCATGGAACATCACGATTTTGCGAAACGATACTTGATAGTTACCGCCAATTACACGGTGATCAACAGTATCGACGTGTACTCACTAGTGTCACGCTCTCCGGATCTTTGAACTCGACGTAAGCGATTCCTTTAAATCGCCGTGTCTTGTTGCAGGTGATAAGTCTGACATCTTGTACTTTGCCGACGCTAGAGAAGAATTCCTCCAAATCGCGTGCACGAATTCGCTGGCTTAGTTGCATGCAAAATACGGTTCGGGCGTCTCGTTCCTCCGGTGTCAGCTCATCGTTTCTAGAAAAGCGCAGAGGTAATAATTTTCACTAACCTCAGGACAAAAACGTGGTACTGAGAAGCAGGGGGGAATACTGGACTATTGTAAATTTTCTAACACTGTATTATTGTGGAATATTTTCTCGTGTTACTCTATGCGCTATAGTAATAATGCAAGAAAAATATTTGAAGAATATCCATATCAATTTAGCATAAATATATCCCCCAATTCACAGATTACAAGTTCCATGACTGGGTCTAGTCAATTATGCATTTCGAAGTAAACCAGTATAGACGCAGAAAAATCCCTGCCACTTCGACTTTGATATTTCTCCAGAGCCGTTTTCCACAATCGGAAACTACACGACGCAATCTAACTAGAGAAATATACAATCAGGGTGTGTTTCTTCCGGATGGATATCGCGTTGTAATTCAGCTTTGTGCCGACGTTTCGCAAACATTGCAACTTGCATCATCAGGGTTAGGAGCTCCGATACTGAATCTTCCTGGTTTGTGGTCCTTATATATTCTACCATTCTTCTAAGTGGGGGTTGGGAGAAATGGGGAACGGGGTGGGGGAAATGTTTCGACCAATCATAATTGGCCAGCTGGTCAATTAAAAACCGGGAGGACAGCGTGCCAAATAGGGTTCACCCGAAGACCCTTATCTCGGTTAACATTGTTAGGATGTTTCAGAATTTCCAATCCTTCTTGATGTTTGCTGGCGTCGGCACAAAGCTGAATTACAACGCGGTATCCATCCGGAAGAAACACACCCTGATTGTATCAATGGCCGCGAAAGTCTAAAAACTACGTAGGCAGTCTGAAAAGTTCTCGGCCTAACAATGAAAGAAAAATTTTTTTGCCGTGAAATGTTTTATTTTTCAATATAATCTCCTGAAACTTCAATACATTTATTCCAACGTTTTTCCAATAATTCAATACCATTATTAAAGTGTAATTCCGGAAGGTCTGTAAAATATCCATCCACGGCTGTAATAGCTTCGTCATTTGATGTAAAACGCTTTCCAGCCAGGAATTTTTTCAGGTTTGGAAACAGATAATAGTCAGAGGGAGCCAAATTTGGTGAATATGCTGGATGTTCAAGCAATTCGTACTTTAATTCGTTGAATTTTGCCATTATCAAAACACTTGTGTGAACACGTGCATTGTCTTGATGGAAAACGATTCTTTTCTTCTTTAAAGCAGGTCTTTTCTCACGAATTTTTGCATCCAATAAATCCAAAAGGTTACAATAATATTCAGAGTTAATCGTTTTATCTTTGTGAAGATAATTGATCAACAAAACACCTTTGTAATCCCAAAAAACTGTTGCCATAACCTTTCCTGCTGATGGAACCGTCTTTGCCTTCTTTGGTGTACGTCCACCGGCTTCAATCCGTTTCGACTATTCTTTTCGCTCTGGTGTATAGTGGTGGATCCAAGTTTCATCAACAGTTATGAAACGACGTTTGAAATCCATTTTATTTTGCTTAAAACGATCCAAACACGCTTGAGGAATACGCATTCGAATGCGTTTTTGGTCAATTGTTAGCAAATGCGGCACTCATCTTGCACGAAGCTTTTTCATATGTAATTCTTCATGCAAAATATTTCCAATTCGTTCTTTTGAGATGCCTATGGCCTCAGCTATTTCACGCATTTTCACTCGCCGATCATCTAACACCATATCATGGACTTGTTGAATGTTTTGTGGTGTTGTAGCAGTTTTTGGACAACCTTCGCGTGGATCATCTTCGAGGCTTGTACGACCAGATTTAAAAAGAGCAGCCCATTTTTTCACAGTGGAAAGTGAAGATGATGCATCCTTATACACTTTTAACAATTTCGGATGAATTTCTGTTGGTGTTAAACTATCCAAAACAAAGAATTTAATCACTGCACGATATTCAATTTTTTTCCATTTTAAAAAAGACAATGAAACTGGTGCTACTACTCGAATGACTTGACAGATCGAAATAAAATTTTACATGGGTTTATATCAGGGATGCCACTTTCCAATACAATTATAGTTTGACAGTTTCTAATGCCATCTATGTGTCAGGCCGAAAACTTTTCAGACTGCCCTCGTAGTATTAGAGAAATATATTATAGCTACTAATTGAATATCATCAGTAAAACCAAATAAATCTTGTACTTACATTCCAAGTGGGCTGTGACCTTTGCCGAATGGTGGTCGGGCTCTGGGAAGAGTCAGCGGTGTGAGCGATCTCTTCCTTCTTCTGTCTCTGTCCCGGTCTCTGTCTCGCCTATCCCTATCCCGATCATTGTCTCGATCACGGTCCCGGTCTCGCCTGTCTCGTGAGCGTGATCTACGTCGACGATCGCGGTCGCGGTCGCGTTCCCTGTCGCGGTCGCGGTCTCTGTCTCTATCTCTGTCACGATCCCGCCGGTCTTTGTCTCGGCGATCGCGTGATCGTGAACGGGAACGAGAGCGATGCTTGCTTTTCCTACAAAAGAACAATGATCCAATTAAGAAAAGAAATGAGGCTCGGCAGCCGGCGAGAATCGGAGAATAAGTCCGAAACACATCCTGCAAGTGAATAAAAAAAAAAAAATTATGAAGTGACGCAAATTTCGAATAATTTTCATCTTGACACCTGCACTAGCGTTTTACGATAATTGCAAGACTGTCTCATTATCGTGGAGCGCAGAGACACAATGTAGACATGTAAGAATATTTGACAAGTGTTAATTATCAAAGTAAAGAAGCCGCTTGCTCAGCAGTTGACTGTTTGGATTGTATTGTAATGTTAAACTGTGCCACTCTCTCATGATCAAGAAACTTGAGGACCGACTCAGAAATGGTGTGAATAAAGTGAAACGCTGGAAAATGCGTTCTTGGTGTCGCAATATTTAGAGTTTGGTCGTGAGTCAAAGTTGCGTTACTAATGAACTGAAATTATCTAGATCACAGAATTTCTCAAGACTCGGTGAGATTAGGCAGCAACCTGAAGCGAGTGCAATTTTGCAACTTTACACGTCGTTACATTCTGATTCTGATCCCTAATCTCGGAGCTTTTAAGGAAACACGATTCGAGATTCGTAAGAGGAGTCTGTAGTACAGATATGCTTCCTATATACTTACCATTTTCAGGTTTAACCTTTGGTATTATCAAAATAACCAGCATTTACACTAATTGTATGGGGTCTATAACAAAGAGAATAAAACTTCAGATGGGTCTATTAGGCGATTAATGTTGCTTCAATCATGGCGCAAAAATCATTATGTGTGTAACGTCACAGACGTATGTCTATTGCAAGAAAATGGCAATGCACAACCGCTCCTCTTTCTTTTTTGTTTTTGAATTTCAATTGATGCTATTACGTTATCTGATTATTGATTACAGCTATCTCAAAAACATACACGACGTCCGAATCTCAATCAGATTGTAAAATCCAAGCGTTCCTTGATTTTAATCGCCGTACAAAAACTTTGGTAGACCTTGTCACAGTGATCAGTTGCCCCTTTATCGCTAACGAGTTTCAACGATGATATCGGCACAAGCTGTTTATCTTGAAAGTGATTCGAGTAAAAATCGCAAAGAGCGCGACGGATGAGAGCGAGATGTGTGACGGCTGCGATGTTTCTCTTAGCAAGCCTCCCAGATTAGAATGAATTAACTTTTGACACAGGTGATGTAGGCTCAAGTAATTTCGTTTAATTTCAACGTTTAAACACGAGGGATGTGCAATTCGAGTCTCGTGTGATCCTGCAACCCTCCAACATATAGACGGAGAGACGGAGAGAGAGAGAGAGAGAGAGAGAGAGAGAGAGAGAGAGAGAGAGAGAGAGAAAGATATAAAACTCAAAGATTTTTCTTACTCACCCTGAGGATTTGCGGCTAGACCCATTCTCCTTGGAGGACTTGTCTTTGGACGAGGAGTCCTGCTCCTACGAACAGCAAACAGTTGAATGCCATGCCAGCCAGCCGATGTGGCGGGGACGCGCGAACAAGGGGACAAAAAGCAAATCGTAGAACGTTAGTAAATTTCGTAATGGCAATTATTCGCTATACAAAAAATATATATATATATGTATAAGATAAATGTATATATACATTGTATATACGTATATATCTTTTTCTGTTTCTCTTTCTATTACGAATGTCAAATCCGACAATGAATTAGAAATGGTAGACGGTATATCTCTTCTTTTATTTTTATCGCCCGTCAGTACTACGGTAGCAACCTTCCCTTTGCTGCGGAAGAGCAATGCTTTTGATGCTGGGACAAAGACAGACGTCGGCGTCAATTCTCGTGCTCTTTCTCTTTTATTTCGGTTTTCTTTCCAGGAGTCTATGGGTCTGAGAGCGCTGAGGGGAGAAGAGGCGAAGGTACAAGAAGAAAAGAGAGAGCGAGCGTGTGTGATAGAGAAAGAAAGAGAGAGTAGAGAGAGAAAAAAGAGGAGAGAGAAAAGAGAGAGAGAGAGAGAGAGAGAGAGAGAGAGAGAGAGAGAGAGAGAGAGAGAGACGGGGCGAGCATAGCGATGCGACACGGTCGCATGCACCTGGCTCAGACTTACCAATCGCTTTATCGGGTTTTAGGAAATCATTGCAATCTTGGGTTGAGCATGCCTTGGTCTTTAAACTACCAATGGCCAACCACACATCCTTTTTCTTCTGCAAAAGAGAGCCCTCATCAAAGACAGCACGATTTCAAAAGCACGATGTAAACGCGAGAGACGTGAGCAACCCTAATCGCTAGCCTACGATTGCCCGCGCGCGCGCACTTACTGATTAGAGGGAATTTGTATGTGTATGTATGTGTATGCGTGTGTATGTGTGTTAATTATATTAGGGGTCGTTTGAAAAGCCACCTTCTTCCCTCTCGGTAGAGACCGTGAACAGCCTGCAACGACTCGCGCAAACTCGCAATCGCGGTCTGGCCAAGTCCAGAAAATGTTTCTTCCAATTGACTCTTTCGCTACGCGCTCATCGTACCGAAGTGTGAGCTGGTGAATGCTTGCGTTGTGTGATATGACGAAGCCAACAGCGTATCTTTTCTCTTAGAACTCGGACATAAAGAGAGCCGTTCGATTCAATCGTGTTAAGATATTACTAAGGTGACAGGCAGATTATCATTGTAATGGAAAACAAAAGCAGGTTCCTGAAACATTTTCTTGAGTAGATCCTCATCTATGAGTCTTCCATTCCAGCTTGGCGGCCAGTTTACCATATTTTCACGTGGTCATTTGTAAACTTGAAACGTAATTAGCGAGGATGCTTACAAAGTTCCTATCCAATTCACGCGTAGTCACGAATCTTACATTGTATCACATATAATAAACGCAATGATATGCTTTGCATGAGAAATTAGTTCTTCATCAGTGAGCGAAGATGACGTGTTGATCAAATTATGTCGATACACAACTGGATTAGTCAGTTGCATCAAGACGAGATGGATAGGCATTTTGTAAACAGCAACTCAACAAATGTCAGATTTGAAGAATAATAATCTAAAGACAACGTGAGAATTGATCGCAAGCCTGACATGTCTTCTATTGCACCGCAATTAAGTGTTGTGATACCTGATCGATGGCACTACCTAGAAGGCAAATTGCTATCATTACAAGTTGCATAGAAAACAGTAAATAGGGTGTGAATATTTTGTAAAATAAATCGGTCGCGAGCCATTACAAGAAAAACATTTCGAGAAACATCCTAGAGCAACTGTACTGGAGGACTGTAACATTTTCTAACCATTTAACAATTGATAGATAAACATATCTAAGGTTTTGCAGTAAGGAGCAATTATATTTTGTTGTGGTTGTAAATCAAGAAGACTGTTCCAATCGACAGACAGCATGAATAGAAATTTAAAGTATGAAAATGAACAGAGAAACTAACAAATTTCGAATTTATAAATTGCGATAAAATGATATCGGCAGACTCTACTTGGAATTCGTTAATACATCAACATTGCAGCGTGGCAAGTGTTGTTACATCATGTAAAGTTACATATTAAGATAACAGATGATTAAAGAAAGAAAAAAAAGTCGATTAAACAGCAAAAACAAATATGATTTTTGGTTATTACGAAAGAGAGGATTATGAGAGGAAGAGAGAAAGAGTATCTATAATATCGCATACATCTTATAGATATTAATTTCTTCAGAAAGAGATTTATCCTTGAAGAAAGGAAACAGAAGGAGAATACGAAAACACAGAATTATCAGAGTTGATATTAGATACGAAGAATATCCCTTGTTTCTTATAGCATATAGCAGATAAGATAATGCATATTTCTCTCTGGATGAAACAATATGCGCTACACAATTAACGTCAGAAGTATTTCATTTCATGATGAAAAACTTTCAAAATATTTGGCTTATTCAGTAAACAAATTTCATATATTGATTTTTATCTATATATGTGTAATATAAATCATACACAACATACATACATATATCATACATACATACAAACATACACACGCTTGAACCAAAATCTCCCAAGATCTGTGAAATTGGATAAATTACAAATTCACAAATCTCAAGATCCTCCAATTCGCCTGTCCTCAAAAGCCTGTAATCAATGCTAACATTTGTAGATTCTGAATTTCTAAAAGTTCCTCATGTGTTCTTGTAAATTTTCAATTGCAAATATTCCTATGGCTCAGACACTTATTCATTCACACACACTCACTCACACTCACGAGTTCTTATGTAAAAACCCTGAATTTGCTGGCTAAAGATACCAAACATTATGACATGTGGTAAACAACACATGGTTCCATATGAATTATCACAATGCCATTGAGAACTGCTTCGGCTTGAATATGTACCAACACGACAGCTACATCATTATCTACATCATCATAAAACATTACGCCTTTGTAAGACAAAAATGATGAAAAAAATTTGAGGAAAAATGAAAATATAAACTAGACAGAAATAAAGAAAGAACAAGAGAAAACAAAATAATAAGAAATAAGTAGAGAATGATGTTAGATGATGGCTGTTCTTAATACCTCGTCTTTCAAGTGCATTCTAGGAACTCGCTGGCGAACATCCTACGAGCGCGAGGGTACATGTTACGTACCATCTATAAGTACAGAAAACGGAGGTGTTGATCAATAGTTGGTACATCAGAAACAAGGTCGTACTTTGTTCTATATATATGTATACATATAAACTATCTATGACACAAAAAAGATAGAAAGATGGGGCGGGAGAGAGAGAGAAAGAGTAATAGTGAGTGAAAGGGGGAGTGTCGGGGAGAAATGGTGGGTTCTCTTTCTCTCGTATGCGTCAACGAGTGCACAAGTTAAAAATGAAAAGACGGCACGCCTCACGCATCGAAATTGCAATTCACGAGCGTGAGCAAGATAAAAGTGATGATGAGAAGATAGAATAAGAGAGAGAGAGAGAGAGAGAGATAGAGATAGATAGATAGGAGACAGAGATAGTGAGAAAGAGAGCAAAATAAAATAATAGAAAAACAAGGCTTACCCCCTTCTTATATGGCGCCTCCAGCATCGCCTCGACATCCAAATCCTCCGCCATTGCGCAAGTTGGAGAGCTCTCTGAAACGCCACGCATTAGCACACCACAGACAAGTTCGCGCTGCTCGCAGACAAAAAGAGAAATGTATATGAGCAAGAAGTACTGGAAAGTGATATATGCAAAAAAAGTGAACTATCTATAGAAGCTATAAACGTACAGATGGCAAGCGTTCTAAATAGGACAATTCGACACTCTCAATCGAGACCCTAAAACGAGCACGCAATCGTTACAGGACAACGTAGAGAAAGAAAATGGCCGATACCGGATTCGGCTCGCATGGGTAACCTCCCACAAATGACGTCAGGAATAGTGAGTCGTTGTCTAGCTGATATCATTCAAAAACTGACGCAATATTATCGCCCCATTCATGAGATAAAAATCAGAATTATTCTTACTTCTAATTAAGAAGAGACTAAAAGACGGATATGTTGAATTATCACGTAAATTATATTTTATGCAACTCTTATACGGTGCGTTAGTGTCGTCAATTCCGGTTTAAACATATTCAAAATGGGACGCACCTCCCATCTAGATATTTGTGCAGCCGTGGCTCAGAATTAACTAGAGTTCGTAGAAAGCGAATTGGTTATTGGCTGCGTTCAGAAGAACAAAATGGGTGCATTCAGTACTACAACCGCTCACAGTACCGCGATTCTATAACTCGTTATTGGAGTTAACGACACTTTCGTTATCGTTGCCCAGCTTTTGTATACCGTAGAAAAGCTGCGCAACAATAACGAAACTGTTGTTAACTCCAATAACGAGTTACAGAATCGCACCACTGAGCGCTAAGTGAGCTCTTGCATCTGATTGGTGTATATTTTTAAATCTGAAGGAATATACCAATCAAATGTAAAAGCTCATTGAGCGCTCAGTGAGCGGTTGTAGTACTGAATGCACCCAATGATCAGTGAGCGCTTAGTGATTCTCGCTCCTGATTGGTAAATACTTCTGGGTCTCTGAAGAATCTAAAAGAATACTCCAATCACAGACAATCACTAAAGCCAGCGGCACACGATGCTTGTTTCGTGCTGGATTGCTTGCTGAATGAAAATACTGCGTTCTGATTGGTACATTTCCGAAGATGGATGGAAATGCACCAATCAGAATGCAGTATTTTCATCCAGCAAGCAATCCAACACGGAAACAAGCACCGTGTGCCGCTGGCTTTAGGCTCAGTTCCACAAGTTGCTTTAAACGGAGTTTAAAGCTAAACCGATGGTTAAAAGCAATATATGCATAAAAGCATGCGCATAAAAGCATATATGCGCATATACTATTGCTTTTAATCATCGGTTTAGCTTTAAACTCCGTTTAAGGCCCAGTTCCACAACTTGCTTTAAATTCCGTTTAAAGCAAATTGTGGAACTGGGCCTAAAACAAGTTGTGGCACTGGGCCTAAGCGCTCACTGATCACTTTGGATGCATTCAGTACTACAACCGCTCACTGAGCTTTTACATTTGATTGGTATATACCTTTAGATTTAAAAATATACACCAATCAGATGCAAGAGCTCACTTAGCGCTCAGTGAGCGGTTGTAGTACTGAATGCACCCTTTGTTCTGCTGAACGCGGCCAATGGCTGCATTCAGTAGACTCAACAGTTAGACAACATTACTAGATTTTCCATTGAATCTCGCTCCTGATTGGTCAATACTTCTGGGTCTATGAAGAATCTAAAAGAATGCTCCAATCACAGACAATAATCACTAAGCGCTCTCTGACCACTTTGTTCTACTGAACGCGGCCATTGAAACATCTTGAATTGGACGTCGGACAACGCTGAGAATCCCCCATTAGCATCCTCATCTACGTATAGTGTTTAGTGAACGTTTGTTTGCTCGCTCATGAGTAAATTTGTACTATATTGTAAATTTGTACTGTGTGTATCAAATGTTACGCTATATATACACATATTAGGTATGGTGGAATTTTAGTAGTGTCTCTTGTTTATTAATAATTTCTTTCGAGATATTGTATAAGATCTATCAGGAAACGATTTAGAAACGTGCACAATTCCAATTGTTAGCAATCTTTTGTAAATTTGTTTCTTACTTTGAAGGTAAACTACATTTCTAACTTGAAAACTAGCCGGGACGGCTCAGCATGTATAAGGAAGTAAAGACGTATTCTTGAAGTTTGCTTTTTTGGTTAAGTACTGGAGAAATATACGAGACACAGAAATTCGTACAAGAGACTCGTTATCCTGTATTTGAAGAGAAATGGCTGCATCCTTGTCAGGTGAGTGTACAACTATTAATATATATTAGGTTATAACAATTATCTTACTTTCAGACATATTAATTTTGAGGGTTTTAAGTGATAAGTAGACATAATAATTTGTTTCATAAATTAAATCTATTACAGCGTATTGGGTAAAATTTTTCAAAGGCGCTGGTTTTCCTCAAGATTTGGCTACGAAACATGCACTTGTATTCTCCAACAATCGTATCAAACCAGACATGTTACCAGATTTAGATAAATCTAGTCTCAAGGACATGGGTATTACATTAATGGGTGATATGATTGCTATTTTGAGATATGCCAAGAAAGTGGTCGAAGAAACAACCTGCGAGAGATTTTTGGTTGATTCTGAAGATACACTTTCTGCACCAAAGAACCTCTCTGCACAACCTGTACATCTAAAAAAAATAGTAAAAGAAGTAGGCAAAAAGATAGTGATTTCACCCACTACTGTTAAAGCAGAAGAACCTGTGAAGAAGGTTCAAATCAAACCTCTGTCTACGACAAAGAAAATTATAACCATAAAAAAACCAATTTCTGCACCAAATGTTACCAATACTGAATATGTTAGTCAAAAGAAGCAGTTGCCTGTTAAAAGAAAACTTGTTTCTGATGAAGCTTATGAAAGCAATGAGGAAGATAATTGGAATATTACGGAAAAGAAAAAAGTAAAAATGTCAATAAATAATAACGAAGACAGTGCTGAATATAAAGTCGTTCCTTCAAAGACTTCAAGTGTAAGAGTTCAACAGATACATAAACCTATGGAACAGAAACGTACAGTGTTTGACAGATTAGGTGACAGTTCTGTTACAAGTACAACCAACTTGGTTGACACATCACCTACCTTCAATATCACTGGTATCAATAAGGATGTGTTTAAGAAGTCGGTCAGTGTATTTAAGCGTCTCGGTGAAATAGATGACAAAAAAGATTACGTAGTTACTGCAGGGATATTAAAAAATGGCTCAAGTAATACCATCAGTTCACCAGGCATTCTGAAGAACAAAATTCCCGATGCACGCACGTCGATCATAACGACAAAGAGAATCGCAACTAAAACTACAGGCACAATGCATGCTGATCATGAAGTCGGCAAGAAGACCATATTAAACAATACGAAACGTATACTCAAGGTAGAAAGGAAACTGATATCACCGCCTGATACTACTCTCAGTGATAAAAGAATTACCAAAATTACAATGTCACCTGGCAAATTGGGTATGTATGCAGAGGATTTTGTGGAAATTATGGGGAATGGCTTTCAATTAAAGGACTCTGTAGAATCCTTATGAGAAATGGTTCTTGATGTGCAGATTAAAAGTGTCAATGGGCTTAAAGTCTGGTAATTGCGTGTGTGTGGTGTGCGTACACGCGCACATGTGTTATGTGTGTATGTGTGTATATGAGTGCATATCCAAGTATATGTGTGTATATATATACATTAATGTGTTCCCTCACTATGCTATGTATGATGTATAAAAATCCCAATATTGAGTCGCTGTACCTTGGAAACTGTTTATTATTGGACTTTGGGTTCATTGACACTTTTGATCTACACATTAAGAACTCATGTAGCAAGTTTTCAAAAAATTTAGCCATTACCCATAAAGACTCTGCAGCGCCTTTTATATATGTTACACGCAAGCATTTGTACAAAACATTTCTATATTCACAGAACACTACGTTTAAATAATATCTGGATATTCTATTCGTTATAGCTTCGGAACGACTCGTCTCAATACCAGCCAAGGCGCGACTTGGTACAACCACACCTAAACAAGTGACTTTCAGCAAAGTGGCAACAGTCACACATGTGAAGAAGGCAGATGTTTTTAGCCGATTAGGCGTATAGGCGTTTTCTTTTTTTATCGTCATTACATCGTTAAGTCAAAAAACAGTGGATTGCGATTGTTACTTTGTACAAAGTTATTAGGTAGTTCCCTAAGCCAGCTGCACTGATTGTTAGTTAGCGGTTAATGGTGATTTACTTAATTTTTCTCCAATCTTTTTTCCATCAAGAGAACATATACCGCTAACTACACTCGGATTACAAGGCTGATTTTGCGTATTGCAATGTCGTGTAAATATAATAAAAAAGATATATTACGGTTTCTATATATATATATATATTAGTAGGAAATATACATATATATACATGTATATGTATATATATATATATCTTCTAGTAACATTAATGATAAAACATTCTTTTATTTAAAAGTGCGTACATGAAATTTTGAATAATTTAATTTTGTATAAGGATTGACACAAAGGTATAACTTGTAATATACAATTATAAGCTAAGTAGTTGAAATCCAGCGTTTATTATTTCTTTTTTGTTTTAAGAAAAATTTTATCTGTCATTATGCATCTATTTTATGTAATATCAGTTTACTATGTTTATAATTTTTTATACTCATATTTATATATATGTATATGTATGTTTCTATATTTCCAGTACATACATATACAGGATGAGCCATTTAATTTTTCTATACAATTAGCTTTCAAAGTGCTTGCTATTAAAAAAAAAATATTTTAAATAAAAAATATATTCAGTTTTCAAGGAGACATCTTACGATGTACATCGTATTTTTTTTCTAGATGAAGATCCGAAATCTCAAAGTAGCCCTTGTTTCTTTAAACTGAATTGTATATTTATTGTCAGATAGCCCTGCAGTTCACTCCGAAACGAGTTCATTGATCATTGACAGCATAGGTCAAGGAGGACTCGGGTGTCCTTTCAGATTATTTGTGATCGATAGGATCATTTAAAATTTGCGATTAAGACTATTTAAAATCTATTATAGCTAAATCGCCCGAAGATTTTTCATTATTCAGACTTCATTCCTGTAGCGAATGAATTTGTAATAACAGATTATACACATACATATGTGTGTGTGTGTGTGTGTGTCGCGTAATATTTCAACATGCGAATATGCGATCAAATTTTTTGTGTTTTTATATCCATTTTATTCACTTTGTAAATTGCGCTTCCTACATTTTCCTTGCTCTTCTATGCGACGAACTTTTATTTTGTAACGAGTGATCCGTCTAGTAACATTATAAATCTGTGCCTTTCACTTGCACTTTCCGCACCTCTTTACTGCTTTTCTGTCTCTCTTTATCCCTCTCGCGAACCGTCAAGCACACATCACAGACTTCTATAGTATAACTAGACTGCTAACTCCGACTCAATACATGACCCTGAAAAATATATGTACCCTGATATACCCTGAGATTCTATCTGTGCGTATGACATGTGTGTGTGTATGTGTGTATGTGAGTGCGTATATGCACACGTACGTCACGCACACTTTCAATACACACATGCACACGACACAACTGCGCTAAAAAACGCCTGCCGTAGTATAAATAAATATTAACGTAACGCTGAAATATTTTAGAAAAATAATTTTGGGTACACACAAAATATTATCTTATTATCATATATTTATATATCGATATAAATCGTATACGATCTTCATGATATTAATCATATACAATCTCAATTCTTATTTTTTTTGTGCATGTTAACATGTTAATTCATGTTACAAATGCATAACAATGCGCGAGACCGTGTTTGTCAAGTACGCTATTATGGTTGTAGCACGGACATTAACCGCCTGAAAGTGGATGTAGCACGGACAGCCACCAGATGCAGGTTTTACCGTCGAGACCTAAAAGTGGATATAGCATCGTAGTTCCCCTCTCAAAATGGATGCAGATAGCGCCCATTCCCAGTGCGAAAAATCGGTGTCGCCGAAAACGTCGTGTTGGCCGCTTTCGGGTTCCTCTCTGTATGTACCGTCCTGGTGTCCGACATTCACGTCTGATTGGTTGAATCAAAACACAATTTCTTCTAATTGGATGGGCCATATTGCTTATATACCTCCTCTCCTTGTGGACTCAAATTCACGCATGCGCAGATGTTTAATTTCCTTGTGTAATACCAGAGAGAAACCTGAAAGCGGCCACCGGGCGAAAGCATATATCTATCCTGATACGCCCTCTGAGAAAATAGACGTCAACTAACTCGATGTCTCGGTAACGACACGAGGTTTGTGTCTGTGATTTGAGTCTGGTTAATGTCCGAGCTAGTAAAACAGACTATAGTGAAAATGATATATATATATATATGTGTATGAGTACACCGCGATGTTAATTAGCAAGTCAGTACGGGCCTTTAGATATAGACGATGACTTGTTTACATATGTTTGCTTACGTTATATAATAAAAGTAGCAAAAAGTAGTAACTTTTTCTTAAAATATATATCATAAGCAACATATATAACTTAGAATGCTCTTTCTCAAAAGTGGAATTTCGGGGAATGGTAAATAGTAGTTATGATTAATATATTTGTAATAATGCAATAAAAGAGAATGTAAAATATTATAATTTATTTTTATTTTCTCCAATTTTATATATTTTTCATTCTTAATCTTTGCTCATCATATTCGTTAATTAAAGGTCCAAAAAATAATATATAGTTGTTTAATGTATGAACGATAAAGTAAAGAAAATAAAAAAAATAAATTTAATGTATTTCGTAATTTCATCCTATTAAGATTGATACAAAAACAATCCAATCAACATAACATTTCTCTTATAACTATTTTCAAATATTCTAAATACAATAATAACTTTATTTTGGATCAATGCGGATATTTACTTTTGGCCACATTTAGAAATATTCTGGCCCACTGCGCGTGGCCGCGGAGCCGCTAGGCTGAAATTTGCTATCACTAATTATGATCGTCTTGTTGCGCGCTGATAAGGAAAGGGTCGGGGCCGTCTTTCACTGATTTTGATGGGCACTGGATATTTTATAGAGCATTAAAAAACATTAGATACGTATTCTTTTATGTGCTTATTTCGATGTTCAGAAGTCGAAACTCCTTGAAAAAAACGGACTTTTTCGTTTTTATTTAATATCTCTTAAAATATGAAGTATATGAAAAAGTCTTTCAGACAAAAGTTTTACAGTATTTTATACTCTTTCCATCGGTCTATTCAAATGTTTCAAAATGCAATATTTTATCCCTTCCCCTCCCTCCTCTTCATTACCTTTGCAAATTTTTAAGTTTTTATAAGGACAAAAATTAAAGAGTATTTAATGCCGAATCCATCGATATATAGACTGTCTTAAAAATACTGGACCCTCCGAATAACTTTGCAGGATCAAGTTTTCATGAAAAATTTTAAATACAAAAGTTGTAAAAAATCGAGTAACGAACTTGATGGTGACTTTGAATTTGACCTTGGCCATGACCTTCAAGATCATTTGAAGATCAACTTGAAAAATTTAAATAGGAACCCCTATTTTTTATTACATTATTTTTTTCTACTAATTAATTTGAACAACTGTTATCTAAAACATTTTTTTATTTGCCTAATATTTGTTGAGATATTTGAGGAAAACTTGATAACTTTTGCAATATTTAACTTACGATATCTCGCTAACTATTTGTCGGAAGAAAAAATGGTACTAGACTTTCTTGCTTTATTTAGTCTCAAGAATATATTGTTATAATAGCGCCCTGACTTTTGTTAACTTACTGAAAAAGTTATCAAGTTTTCCTCAAATATCTCAATAAATATTAAGCAAATAAAAAAATGTTTTAGACAACAGTTGTTCAAATTAATTGGTAGAAAAGACGTGTAATAAAAGATAATGGTTCCCATTTAAATTTTTTAAGTTAATCTCCAAAGGACCTTGAAGGTCATGGCTAAAGTCAAATTCAAGGTCATCAAGCCCGCTACTCGATATTCTACAACTTTTGTATTTAAAGTTTTTCATGAGAACTTGATTCTGTAAAGTTATCCGGAGGTTCCGGATAACCGTATTTTTAAGATAGCCTGTATACAGGGTGCTAAATTTCAAACGTAACAGGTAAAAAATTTCGAAAACTATGAAAGATATAAAAATGCTAAAACACGTATCCCATGATTACGAAGAGAAATGAGAATGGCATTATCAGTTTTTTATTTGGAGGGTATTTTCAAGGTCAAGTTGAAGGTCAACTTAATTTTTTAAAATAAAAAGCCCAATTTTTTATTGTATCAAGTTGAAGGTCAACTTAATTTTTTTAAATAAAAAGCCCAATTTTTTATTGTATCTTCTTTTTCTATCAATTAATTTGAACAACTTTTGTCTGAAACATTTTTTTATTTGCCTAATATTGTTTGAAATATTTAAGGAAAACATGGTAACTTTTTCAACATTTAACTTACGATATCTTGCTAATTGTTCGCCGAAAGAAGAAATAGTATTAGACTTTTTACTTTATTTACTATTAAGAAGATATTACTATAATAGTGCCCTAACTTTTGTTAATTTAATAATTTTGAAATTTCCAAAGGTCGATAAGTTAACAAAAGTTAGGGCACTATTATAGTAATATATTCTTGATAGTAAATAAAGTAAAAAGTCTAATACTATTTTTTCTTTCGACGAATTGTTACCGAGATATCGTAAATTAAATGTTGAAAAAGTTGCCAAGTTGTCCTTAAATATCTCAAAAAATATTAAGAAAATAAAAAAATAACTCAGACAAAAGTTGTTAAAATTAATTGGTAGAAAAAAAAGATAATGAAAAATTGGCCTTTCTATTTAAAAAAATTAAGTTGACCTTCAACTGACCTTGAAAATGCCCTCCAAATAAAAAGCTGATAATGTCATTCTCTTTCCCTTTCGAAATCATGGAACACATGTTTTAGCTTTTTTCAATATCTTTCATAGTTTTCGAAATTTTTTACCTATTACGTTTGAAATTTAACACCCTGTATAGTGCCAACAACGTGCCTACAACCCTGTACAAAATACTTTCGTATGCATACAAATATGCAAAATCTGTTTTGACATTCCTATAACTTCGATATTTCGGCCAGCGCCTCAATTCTCATTAATACTCATTTAATCATTGTCCCTAATTTTGTTGTGTCATTCAGTTTTTGTGCTTTTATACAAGAAAACTCTTCCGAACTTTTGTAGGACTGTAAATCTTGCATATAGCATGATATGGCTGCGAAACTAATTATGAAAAACTTACATTCAGCTTGAACGTAGCATCTTACAAGAAAAGGGTCTGACGTGTAAATATAATTTTTAGCTACATCT